TACCCAGCCCCCCCACACCCTATGCCCTGACTCCTGCATCTCCACACACACATCCCCACCCCCACCCTGAGCACCAAATGGGAGATCCTACACCCTCCCCCCCACATACCCACCTGCACCCCTCACACCAAATGGGAGCTGCCCCTACTCCACACCCCAACCCCCTGCCCCAACCCTGACCCCCCTCCCTCATTCTAGCTCCTGGCCAGACCCTGCACCCCAACCCCCAGCCTGCTCCTGCACCCTAACTCCCTCCCAGACCCTGCATCCCCAGCCCTGTGCTCAGTGCACCGCCACCCTCAGCTTAGTGCAGAGAGAGATGAAGAGAACGGGCTAGAACCAGGGAGAAGGTAGGTACCCGCTCTATGTGGGCAGGGGTGGAGGGGAGGATCCTGTTTACCCCCTCCCCAGCCCTGCTGCGCTTACAGTTTACCCCCAGCCCCTCCTTGCTCCAGGGTCCAACCCTAGCTCCTGCCCCACTGTGTTTTTGCCCCCAGCCCCTGCCTTGCTCCAGTCAGCAGGGACTAATCCTCCCCCCCCACCATGCCCAGCTGTCAGGGTGGAAAAAAATCAATGGCTTTGTAAAAAAAAAATAAAAAAATCGGATTTTTTTTATTTAAATCGGATTTTTGAGGAAAAAATCTATCTAAAGATAGTTTTAATTAAGATACATTATATCTCATCATGGAATCGGGATTATAAATTCTGATTCTATAGTATGAGACAATATATTCATGTAATGTTTAAGAAAAGTTTTGTAAATGAGTTCTAATAGTTCATGGATTAGGGACCCAATCTTATGGGGTTCCACAGGCTTCTGTATAGATTATTTAGATTAATCTTTTTATCTACCCAATGGGACTCAGTGCTCAATCTAGAACAGGGATCAGCAACCTTTGGCACGCGGCCCTCCAGGGTAAGCCCCCGGCAAGCCGGGTCAGTTTGTTTACCTGCTGCATCCGCAGGTTCGGCCGATCGTAGCTCCCACTCGCTGAGGTTCGCTGCTCCAGGCCAATGGGGGCTACAGGAAGTGGCAGCCAGCACATCCCTTGGCCCGCGCGGCTTCCCGCAGCCCCCATTGGCCTGGAGCGGCGAACCGTGGCCAGTGGGAGCTGCAATCAGCTGAACCTGCGGACGCGGCAGGTAAACAAACTGGCCCGGCCTGCCAGGGGGCTTACCCTGGCGTGCCGCGTGCCAAAGGTTTCCAATCCCTGGTCTAGAAGATACCATCAGAGATGCTTAGTTTTTCAGTTCTCAAACTGTGGATTTGTGTCTCCAGAGGTAACATGCTTGTTAACAGCAAAAATGTTTTAAATAAATAAATAATATATAGAGGCGAGAAATAACAGACCTCAACTTTATTGTTCCTCTGCAAATTTGTGTACACAGAGTCAACCCCTTACCTCTCTTTAAAAGTGAAAAGTTTCAAAAAGTTCAATGAATAGAAGATTGTTGGGGGTGGAATAGATCTGGCCAAGGAGAAGAAGTCTGGAGATAAATGTGAGAAGCGAGGGACATATGCTTTTTTGTTAAAATATTATGTTTGCTGTTGAAGAAAAAAATCCAGAATACTTAACGTTGTTGTTTTAGTTAAATAAAACAATTTAAATGTCTGTCTGGTGATGTTCTCCTCCTAATTCAGCATGGCAAGAAAATCCTCCAAATATTAATGATTAACCTGTTGAATTGAAGATAGTTCACCTCCCAATGACTTCATAAATATCTTCTTCAATTATCTTTGGTAAACGAAATAACCAAACAATCATTCGTTTTCTGATATAGCTGTAAAACTCATCTGAAAAGTTTTCAAAATAAATCACTGTTTAAAAATGTATAGTGTGTACCTTCTAAAAATGAAAGCTACATGTATCTCTGAGTTGTGAAGAATATGTATTAAGGTTATAAAAACCAACAAGAATGCACTTTTATGTAGAAAACCATGATTAAATCGAGTCTTCCTGACTAGTGATTTAAATCATGATTTAAATCAAATCCACCCTGCCCACTGTGCTCTTGCCCCTGGCCCCTTCATTCCCCAGGGGGGCCCACAAATATGTTTGGCGCCGGGCCCAAAAAAATTAATCCGGCCCTGACAAGCACTACCCTTTCCTTAGACCAGGACTGTCAAGCTGTCTGTGGGGAATTAGGAGCGTGGACACCTCCCAAGAGACACATCACTCACCAAGGTTGATTTGTATCCTAGATCTCACACCAAAGAAGCTGGCAGCCAATCCTATAGTAAGCTATTTAGAGATTTATTACTAAGGATATGTCTATACAGCAATGTAAGCCCAGGCTTGTGCCCCCTAACCCCCCTTGTGGCCACACACCAATTGTGTTAACCTAGGGCTTGAACCTAGGGTCACAGGATACTGCAAGGCTGGAGGGTCCAAGCCTTTGTTAAGCTGGGACCTAGGATCTGAGTCCTATTGGTTTCCTGTGTGCATATGGCCCTGGCTTGACTCGGTCTCAAAAGTCCTCCAGATGTATCCCAGAGTTCCCTGAGGCTGCATATGCAGAGGTGCCCAGTCAGTGTGCACTGTGAGGGTGGTGAGTGGAAGTCAGCCCCAAACTTCCTCACAGCCTCCTGGGGATCCCTTATCCCTGCCTCACAAGGTGCGGGGGGGCAAGGATAAGGTATCCCTGGGGGCAGCTGGAGCACGCTGCACCCCAAGCCCTGGGGATACAGTGCACCACTCCGCAGCAGCAGCCAGCCTGGGGTGGGTGGGTGGTTTTCCCTCTGAAAACCTTGTTTTTGTTTTGAAATGTTATGTCAAATGTCAAAACAAACAGACAAAACCAGCTTCATTGAACAGCTCATTTTGAAAATTAAGAATTACAAAATTTCATTTGACTAGTCTGACAACCCTGGAGACTGACGTCCTAATTATCCTCAGAACAGGAGCACATGGGCATTTTCCTGCCAGTGTCACTCAACCTAGAGGTGCAGAGCCCAACTCTCAATTAGCTGGCAGTCATTCCATTGAGACAGCCACCAAAGGAGCTAATTATGCAGTTTCTGTACTCGTGTGCTCCTTACGGGCACCTGAATCCCATCAATAGCACCGTCACTGTTTGGAAATAGAGTGGACAACAGAGTTTTCCAACAGTGAAACACATTTGTAGGGCTAGAGTGTCAAAACTGGGGCAGTGGAGGTGGAAATGCACTCGGTACTCTGGGATAAGGTTACTTTGACTGGGGTCTGTGCACTGCAATGCGGACGACAGAGCCCTAGGTTTGAGCACGGGTCAGAAAATTCTTAATTGAGGGTTAAAATGCAGAGTAGATACTCAAGCCGAGGGTTCCCTGACAGAGGTCCACTGACTCAAGTCCCACTAACCCTAGGCTTACATTGCTGTGTAGACCTACCCCAAGAAAAAGAAATGGAAGGTACTGAAAGGTTAAAGCAGGTAAAATGTATGTACAAGTGAGTTACAGTCTATCATTTCAAAAAGTAGCAGAGATGGAGGTGATCAGATCATGGAACAGGGAACCAAATTGATCACATTTCAATTCAGCACAAATGGAGAAGAACTTTAGAAGATGTACAGAGCAGGAACGAGGCACATATGGGTGTAAACCACTTACTAGTGGTAACGAAAATGAGAATAAAAATAAGAACAAATAAAAGATTCTGTCCTGCTAGAATCCAAACCATCAAGAAATGAAGAATTTTTCCGTGGGTCTGTATTTATAAGTTCTCACAGAAACCAAGCTGACAGGACGTGGGTTTTTTCTTCGTGGTGGGAACAGGGCTGCCAACAGAATTGCCAGGCCCCTGGGAAAGGTTTGGGGGCTGGAAGGGGTGGGGCCTCGGGCAGAAGCCAGCCCTACAGCACTACCCGGCCTGCACCGCCCTGAGCTCCAGCAGCGATTTAAAGGGCCCGGGTGTCCAGCCGCCGCCACTGCCCCTTACTCCCCCGCAATCCCTATCAGCGGCCCTGGGAAAAGAAGAATGCTCTTAGAGACTTTGAACTCACACACAATGACCATTTGTTTTGAATGCGCAGGATTTAACACCTTTCTGCTAGAGTTCTTCATTTGCATTACACAAGACTTCTTTTTTGTTTGATGAGTTACTTTGGTATATACAATGCAAATGTTTGCTATTACAGTATAACAGGGTACAGACAAGTTAAAACAATCCATGCACCGGTTTTTCTTTAAATTTAAACACAAAACACATTTAACATCTATTTTGAACTATACTACAGCACAAATCAGCTGGTCTGGCTTCCAGCTATGAGTTTGTCAGTTCTTAGCTGACGCCTATGGCTTTGGCCAGAGCTGGCCCTTGGTTTATCAGCATCACAAGCACCATGCTCTGAACTGGAGCAATGGCTCCTGCTCTCCCAAACTGGCTGCAGACAGACAAACCCCATTCTCCTGAACTGGCTGTAACAGTAAATACAAGAGTGACATATTACTGTCTTCCTGTAGCTGGGTGGAGTTTCAGCAGTGTCAGGCCAAGGCTGCAGCACCACAACAGCAGATAAAAACTCACCCCCTGTGGGGAGGGGGCGTGAGGAGCCCCTGCAGCACTGAGAGCTGAGATCAGGCTGCTTCCATGGAGAGAGTCTCTGAGCTGGATTTTGCAGCCCCTGCTCCCTGTGTGCACTGAGTAGCCCCACAGCGATCCATGGGACTGTCCGTGTCAGTCAGTGCTCCCCGCCCTGAGCAAAGGCTGCACAATCTAGCCCTTTACGTGCAGAAAGGACATTGCTGTCCCTGCCCAGAGCTCCCAGGGTGAGTGGGGTGTGGTGGTCAGACCAGGCTACAGACTGAACCAGCGCGTCTCCTCCCCCCCCTCACAAGGGAAAGGCACCTGCTGGCAGTGAGCTCAGCAGGCAGGGCAGTGACAGTGACCCAGATCCTGTGAGCTCAGACAGCAGATGGGAAAGAACCCAGTGGTCGGCAGCGCAGTGAAAGGGACTGTGAGCTCAGGTATCATGTCTGCAGAGAGAACTAACATCCTTTTCTTTCCTTATTTTCCCCACAGGGTGGACTTTGGCCATCCAACTCCAGAGATGGAGGCAGAGCTGGATGCTGTGAAAAAGATAAAACCTGGTTTGAACATAAAGATATAGCTGGAGGACTGAGTGGGAGCCATTGCACCAACATGGCTCTGGGATTATGAAATGGAGGGGTCTGGTAACATCCCCCCCCCCCACCCTTTTAGTTTCTCACTGCAGGGGGGTGACCCAGGAACCATCTTTGGATCCAGATCCTCTTCCAATAGCTCAGTCATTATTTGTTGTATGTTTCTTCCCCTACCCCTCACCCTCAATTTCATACAATTCCCAGTCGTTAAGGCAGCATTCTGTGTCTGTCTCCAACATTTGTTTATGCCAAATGGATGGTTTTGGGTCAGTTTTGCTGCAGCTCAATAAAGATCATGAATCAAGAACTAATGCTGCACTTCAGAGTTTGTATTTCTTGCCACAGTTTGTGCTGCTCCTGTGCACAAGAATTCTCCCATTCTCCAAGGCTGGGGGAGTCCTCAGGGTTGCTTCCCAGACCAGTTTCTCAGGGTCCCAGTTTCTTATCCTTTATGGTCAAGAAGCTTGTCCAGGCAAAATGTCTGTTTGGGCAGCTAAAAGAGGGTTTGTTTACCCTTCTCTGGGTGTTCATGGCTTTATCAGAAAGGTGCTGTAGGTGGCCATAAAGGACCGTGAACACCCATTTGGGAGTGGAAAACAAAACAAAAAAAACTGGACACGGAGATGATTAAGGCATGGCCAACCACCTGGTTGATGTGCCCACACAGATGCTGCTTTCCAGCTATGCCTGGTGCGTGACTAATATAGCAGCACAAGTGAAGACAGTCACCTCACAGCCACTCACTTGCTCACACAGCTACACATACCTGCAGACCCTATCACGCACTGATTAAAATACCCTCAAGCACACAGACTATGGGGTGGAGTGAGACACAGAGAGCTCATATGTGCTTGTGGGGTTGGCCTGGGCAGAAGCTGGACTGGGCTTTGCCTAGCTCTGAGCTAAAAAGAATTAGAAGAAAATACACATTTTAAAAGCAGGTCATGTTGGAGAGGGGCAGGCTGGGGATAGTGGGGGACTGTAGCCCGAAAGCCCCTTGACCAAATGAGTTGAAGTTTCAACTGCCAACTCCACCCTAGGATCTCTACTGGCCTAGCAATTTTCAGGCCAATCTGACAATGCAGGTGGATTTTATATAAATTTTATATTAAAATAATCCTGAGACATGAGATATTTAAGGGAGAGCCCCAGGACCACTGGAAAAGTTATTGGCCATGAAATCTGAGCTTCCCATGCTTGTGGAGACAGAATTCGATAGGCCATGCCTGACACGAGGTGTTTGGTGACTGGTAATGCCTGGCTGAGAGGTAACTAGCAGTGAGAGTGCAGAGGTCACCCACCTGTCTCCAAATGCTCCTCATCTCCCCTTGTTCCATGGGGGTTACCACGTATGTTTGTCTTTTGATTTAAAAATATTTCTGTCCGAAGAAACGTGTTTGTTCCCTTTCAGACTGAGGGCAGCTGAGCTCCGGAGCCCTGAATTGGCTGTTTCAGTGTGTGAGTTTATAGCAATTGGAGCAGCCGAGCAGCAGTTTATCCTGCTAACCCTGCGTTGTTTTATGTGGTAATTCCTCTCTTACCAGACTAGGGTGGAGACAATTGGTTGTTGTGACACAAGGGCCAAATTCTGCTCTCAGTTACATCTGTGCAGCTTCACTGAAGCACAGACGTTACATGGACAAGACCTAGGATCTTAGGGCTAGTGCAGGACAGTTCCTGGAGAAGCCAAAGTTGTTGCACGGGGGTAATTCACGGTGGAATTTGACCCTAACACATGAAGGGGTGATTCTCCCCTGCACGGCCCCATGTCCAGACAGCTGCGTCTGAGCAAAGCTGGTGTGAAGAGCAAATTAAACCTTACTAGGGACTTTCACCTGCTCTATAGGCCTAATACTGCTGCCATTGGAGTCAACTGCAAAACTCCCTTTGACTTTGTCTGGTCAGGAATAGGCTTTATGGGTCTGCTCCAAAGCCCACTGAGGTCAAAGGGAATCTTCCCCGAGCTTTGGATTCAGCTTTATGTGGAAAAGCAACCTCTGGAGTAATCACCACGTCATATCCGCATTCGATTTAGAGCTTATGTTGGTGAGAGCTTTTTCCCCTCACTCTAAGCCTATGCCCCCATGGGCTTCACCTACTCATGTCCAAGAACCCACATATGCTTTGATGGAAACAGGTATAACACTGTGTGATGTTATTAATATGAACTGGGACCATATAGATCATTGTTGCAATCAAGGGCCTGTAGTGGCACCAAATCTTGTATAAAGGGGGTCAAATAAGGTGTCTAAAACAAGGTTATGGTTTGCTGGTTATGCTTATGCTATCTGTTTGCATGTATCATTTTTGTGTTTAAAGTTATAAGTATTGGCTCTATACTGTCTGTATTTCAAACTTGTGCTATGCTTCTGGGTGACACCCCAGACAATTTGGTGTCAGCACTGCCTAGCCTGCTCGATGGCCCATTAAGGACCATCAGCTATACAACTGACCCATTAAGAGAAGGCAGATACACCTTGGGACTCAGCAAGGCATGCAGGGACATGCCTATGGACAGAACGCTGAGGTTTTTCCAGGCCAGTTGCTGGATAGCTTGTCTTTGGAACAAAGAAAGCAAGAGACTATAAAAGGCTGCTGCGTGTCCTCCATTTTGTCTTCAATCCTGCTCCATACCTCTGGAGGGACTTTGCTACAAACAGAAGCTCTGAACAAAGGACTGAATGACCCATCCCAGCTGTGGATGTCCTCCAGAGACTTGATTTGAACCTACAGTTTATACTATCACTGCTGCAAGCCTGAACCAAGAACTTTGCCATTACTGTATGTAATTGATTCCATTTAACCAATTCTAGCTCTCATGTATATCTTCTTCCTTTTATGAATAAACCTTTAGATTTTAGATTCTAAAGGATTGGCAACAGCGTGATTTGTGGGTAAGATCTGATTTGTACATTGACCTGGGTCTGGGGCTTGGCCCTTTGGGATCAGGAGAACCTTTTTTCTTTTACTGGGGGATTGGTTTTCTTAACCATTCATCCCCATAACGAGGGGCACTGGTGGTGATACTGGAAAACTGGAGTGTCGAAGGGAATTGCTTGTGTGACTTATGGTTAGCCAGTGGGGTAAAACTGAAGTCTTCTCTGTTTGGTTGTTTTGGTTTGCCTTGGTGTGCATAGGACCCCCAGCCTTGGGCTGTAACTGCCCTGCTTTAAGGAACTTGTCCTGAATTGGTACTCTCAGTTGGGTCCCACCAAAGCCAGCATCGTTACAGGCTGCGTAGATGCATAGCTCTGTAGCCACACTGCCACTGTAAGTACACAGCAGTAGCCCTGCCATTTCGGGGGTGGTCTCTCAGGGCTCTGTGTGTCACAGGGAGACACTACAAGAGCCGCTTAGCTGTGAGGCATTGATACTGTCCTCCGCCTTCACACATCTGCCTATGGCAGTTCCTGATCACGTCACTCTCTGATTGTTACTCCCTACAGAACTGGTTAGAAGACATGGAACAATTGGAGGATGAGCAGGTTCGTCTCCTGTTCCTTATTAAGGGATAAATGGTTATGCGGTGAAGTGGGTGCTCAGCAAGATGCTGGATGGAATTTGGGCACATTTTCTGACACATCAAAGATGGCTGACCTTGTGAGGCACCGACAAGTCAATTCTGCTCACACTGTATAGATATGTGAATGCCCGTATTGTCATGGTATGCCCTTTTAGTGACTGTCACATCTGGCGAAGGAGAACCAACACAGTGAGGTAGGAATGAAGTTTTGTGCCGAATGAGACTATAGACCTTCATGGAGCACAGTGATGAGGTTTCACTAACTCTCCAGCACCAGAACACTTGATTCAGGGAAGCTGTACCGGTTCAGAAGTGGGTGACTATTGCCCTGTGGATGCTGGCTACACCAGACAGCTATAGGTCCATTGTAAACCACTTTGGGGTTGACCCATCCACTGTCAGGGTTGTGGTTGTGCAGGTTTGTGAGGCAATGAACACTGATTTACCCACAGGTGGTTGCCATAAGAAAAGTTCCAGCACTACGACTTGGTTTTCAGAGAATGGGGTTTCCGAACTGTGCAGGGCCATCGATGACACCCATGTCCCAGTACTTTGCCCCTTGCACTGGGCAAGTGAATCAGTGAATTGAAAAGGTTACCAGTCAATTGTTCCGCAAGGCTTAGTGGATCACAGAAGCAGATTCCTGAATACAAACGTGGGAAGGACTGGAAAGGTTCATGGCACCACAGTGCTGAGGAGATCAGGATTGTACCTGGAGGGGGGAAAAGAATCTTTATTCCCCAGAAAAAACTATGGTTCTGTATGGTGTGTCTTGGACAGCTATTATTTGAGGGGACCCCACAGGCATGAGCCCCTGACTTGGCTCATTGAACCTTGGGTCCAACATTGATGACCCTGGAACATTCAATTATTACATGCAAAGTAGCTGCAAAATCGACATGGAGAGCGCATTTGGTGGGCTGAAACATTGGTGTTGCCGATGCAGTCATCTGCCATTGTGGCAAACATCATTCATATAATTGTCACCTGCAGCACACAACATAACTGTTGTGAGGGAGAAGGGGATGCTTCCAACCAGAGTGGGCTCAGTGCAGGTCTGGTTTATAAACACCTGCATGTGCACAGTCATCCTGGCTCCCAGCGGGCACGGGAATCAGGGCTGCTGTATTTTCACAAATCCTGGCGCAGCAGGGAGGCAGAGGCTGACATCTACCTGTGCCGAGGGACACCTTCCCACCCTGTAAAGCTGCTGGAAATGCACAGAAGGGAACATTGGTACATACTTATGGGGCTACGTAGCTTTGGGAGGGTTTTGTTCCCTTGTAGCGGAAGGGCATTAGCTGTTCATTCAGGAGATACTGCACACATTACAGACAATTCTAACAGGGCCCCTCCCTTGGATGATCACCCTGGGGTTGGGTTTGTGCTGTTGAGGGTGCCAGCTGAGTTGTTAGGCAGTCATTGTTCAGTGTTTTTGTCTTCACTAGTCACACTTGTTTAGAACACTCTTGCAATGGGAGCACTTCAGCTTTTTTAATGAGCGGATGACGGGATACTTTGGGTGGGGAATATACTGCAGCCATTGTGGGTTTTTTTACTTTATTGTCAACAGTGCAACGTGCAATTAACAGCTGTGAACACTAAACCTGATATTGCTAAAGGTTTTGGGTGGGGGTCATAGTGGGTACAGATCGATGCTACTATTGCCAGTGTGTTCCTTCTGTCTTTGTTATTGTTCTTGCGGGTTGATTTTCAACATGTGTAAAAAAGCCCTTAAGACACTGATCAACCCGTTTTGTGTGTTTTAGACATCTGCTCTCTAGAGAAATAATAATGCTTTTTAAAGCGCAATGCCATACACTGTGCTTTCCCCATCCAGCCTGTGTATCTGTGAGACTTAAGCTGTTTCTGAACCACCTAGGGAATACTGAAAATATTTGCACTATGATGCACCAGATTTTTACACACTATTCCATTATGTGCAGTAGGAAGCTTGAGACCCCTTCAAAAATGAAAAACCATATTCAGTTCGTCATTAGGATGGAGGACCAACACATAGTTAAAGCATAACATTTATTAAAAAATATGTGGTAGAAACAAAGCAGATCTGCAGTCAAGTCCAGAGACATGGTGAACCAAGGTTGGCATGGGGTGGGCAGGGACTGGAGGAGGCCAAGTGGCTTCACGCTTGGGTTCAGGAGCAAAAAGTTGGAAGAGCTAATGTATTTCTTAACAAAGGAGTACATACCCAGCCACCTGAAGTTCTGAAACCAAGCTCCATGGTTTAGTTTGGCCAACGTGATAAGCGAGCGGTGTATCATGGCAAAGTTTCAGCATTTTGAGTCGAGGCAGAGCATCGGGACATAAATGTACTCTTCATGATAGAGGATACCAGGCTGCAATTGGAAACACGATGGACTGAATAGCTGCATATTGTCCAAGGCCTGATGGATCTGGGTAGCGAATGTGTCATGAGGAGCAGGGACTGAATGATGGACATTAGGCTCTTGTCCACAGTTCCACTGAGAAAATTGGCTGGCTTAAGGACTGTCAAAAGAGGCTTTGTGTGTGATTCAGCATATTCATCCTTGTGGGACAAGACGTCCATCTTTCCATTTCTAGCACCCTGACAGTAAGTCACAATGAACTCGAATCGGGCAAAGAATAGTGACCAGCAGATCTGATGCTGATTTAAGTTTTGGGGCCATGAGGAGATATTCCACGTTCATTGAATCAGTAAGTTCCTTCTAAGAGGTGGCACCACTCAGCAAAGGCAGCCTTCATTGCCAGTCGCTCCTTAGCCCAGATATCATAGCTCCTTTCTGCCAGGTTAACTTTTGTGACTAAAAGGCACATGTGTGGTGCTGATTATTAAGGGAACAAATAGGTCTGCACAAAGCAATGGATATCTATAACTGTACATAAAATGAGGTTAAAGGATTCTCATCCCTTTTTATTATTGCCCTTAGGCCTAAGTGCTTAACCAATATTTGGGGCCTTGCTGGGTTGTTTCTGTTAGGACAAGAAGTTGATTATAGAATCAGGAATTGATTTGGTGCAATCTTGTTTATTTACAAAGAATGTACACAAAGTTCTGATTCCTGAGCACGGGAAGAACAAACAGGAGGCAGTTTTGCTCAGAAATCCATGCCCTGCCTTTGAAGCGAGTCCTGTGCCCCAAAGACTAGGTCCCTGCATCTCCTACCGGGGCTTCTCTAGGTTTCTGGTCTCTCTCTCTTAACTTTGTGGTTGCTTTTGCCTGTGACACAACAATCCATGCCTCAGTCCCAGGTTTTGCAATAAGTGTACAGGAAACCCATCTTATTCTGAGTTAATTCTCGCTCAGTCTTTCCCTTGTGGTTCAGGGTCTTGAGCAGTGTCGTCCATTTTGCCTGTCTTACGCCATACTTCCTTCCATTTGGCCTGAAGGAAGGGCGACTAGCACACCTCCCAGTTTCACAGAAGTCTTTGCCTACAGATCAAAGACATGCTTGCTGGCAGGCATTAACGCCTTCCAGCATAACAGTATTTTATTGAAGTTCACCACATTTCCCCAAAGTTCACCTCATTGACATCACATTTTGTTTACCTATAAACGCTGACTCCGCACCTGGGAACCATAACGATTACATTGAGAAATGGAAACAGCAGATATAAGGAGGTTATGAACTAGCATCATAGAGCTTGTCTACATGGCTATGCAGATTGTGTGGATGGGAGGACTTTGGCTTCCTCGACTATGGAATGCTGTTCTCATAATAAAGTCTGCTTGGAAGAGATGGGCCCATCTGACCAAGAAGGGGAACAGCATCTTCATGCACCAACTCGCCACTTTGCACCTAGGATGGCTTTAAACTAGGTGCAAAGGGGGCAGGTGACAAAAGCCCACAGATAAGCATTAAAAAAACAGATGATCTTATTAGAGGGCTAATGTTGGGGGAAACTACAATAGGGTCATAGGAGCAAGATGAGGGGAATTAATGGGGGAATCTGTTCAACTTCTTGCATGTGATTTGTCCAAATGCCTTCACGGGAGGTGCTGCGAGGTAGAATACATAAGATTTGCAAACTTCAGAACCCAGGATAAGGCTAAGAAGCCTCACCTTTCAGGTCAACAAGCCACCAGAGGGAAGATGGGCATTGCAGAACATGTCAGATCCCTCACCTTGGGGAGAAGAAGTCCAGACATCAACAAACCGGCTATGCCAGGCTTTCACCAGTCTCCCTGCACCCTGTAATATCACTCTAGGAGAAGTGCTGTGCCTTCAACATCACTGTCAGGCTCCTTAACAGCAGTTCCAGATTCTAAGTGATGAGAATCCAGACAACTGCGAGCACTGAAGTGTTCACCACCGCTCCCCCCCATCGTCTTAAATGTCTTATTTTCCCCTTTTTTTCTATGTTTGTCTTGGTTGTGTTAACTGGGAGATGTCCTAGCCCTTTTTTATTCTCTAACCTGGTGGTGTGAAAGCGTAGTTTTGTACATGCATGCAGCATGTGCGTATGAGCACCAGCTGAATCCACATCAGGAAGCTGCCTTAAAGAACGTTTCCCAGATGTAAGTAGCCCTAAAACAGTCTCAAAGACATGTTCTGTGCTGTGTGTGTTTAAGGCCTGAGAAACAAAGCTGTCAATTGCTAAATAAGAGATGTCAAACTTCTGCTTATCAGCGTGTGTTTTTTTTAAAGCCTGAACACTGTAACAGCTCTGGGTGAGGGGAGGAATGTTTTCACCACCACGCACTGAAATGTCAGGAGGAAGCTTTGTAATCGGCTCTGAGCTTGCGGTTCAGACATTAAATAATAAACTGCCTACAGTATTAAGATAGTTAACCAGCACCAAGTTATAGATTTAATTGATTGAGTTGGGATTCATACCCAAAACAGTCACCTTCTTAGATCCCTTCTAGGATTAATACAACAAATAATCAGTTCTTATTAATCTGATGAGGTAACTAATTTGGTGACATACTTTTGATCCAACATTGAGACTAATTTAATTGGGGTTTGATTTTGGTTGGGTAGTTGCATTGCTCTAAGCGTCATTTAGTTTCGTCGTACGATTAGTAGCTTCGCTTTGGTGATACAGTTTGTTGGTGTAATAGTTTAAATACAATTTATAAAACTGATGCCAAACAACATTTCTTTCAATAAGCAACATGGGTCTACAACCTTGAGGATGTGCGCAGATATAATTGGGTGAACCTAAAAGCCTAACCAGCTCCACATAATAAGTCTTTGGGTCTCACAACCCTGACAGTCTCTTCCATCCCTGTGCCTATGGAGGCTGAATGTGTAAATTCAAGAAGCTCACAGAACGGGAGCATATTTTTCCCCATATTGTGAGGTTCTCACTCTTTACACCAGTCAGGAGAATATACATCCGGAGTCCTTGGTGATGGCAGAGATGCCTTAAAAGAGGCAGGTCCCATCCCTAGCTGTTGTCCCAGCTAGGACGAGAGCCAGGCCAGAGCGGTGTTGGTGCAATGGCTTCTGCTCACCAATTCTTCCATATACGTATGACCATATCAGGTTCTCTCTTTTTCACAGCATCTAGCTCTCTCTGTGTTTCTTCATTTACATTGACACTGCTCAAACTGTGGGGGAAAACAAGTCAAGAAAAAGTGTTAGATATAATAGCCTGAGAACACAGTCCCTTTGAAGCACAGTTAGCCGCACTCCATTGGTTTCAGTGAAATCATCTCTGGAATGGACACAAAAGACTATTGCAATGAATGTTCAGACATAACTATCTGGGCCCTTCTTCTGTCCCCATCCCAGACATTTTTGGTCCACCCCATCTGCACTGGATTCCCTCGGGAGTCTGACCATGCCTGTCCTTTCCTACTGAAGAGGTTGCTGTTGAGTGATATGCGGAACTCTCGGCCCACTTAGAGGAAAGGAGATGCCAGCATGTGAAATTTATAGCAAGCAAGAAAACAGACTTCAGCGAACTTTTTTGTTCCTGAATTATTAATCTATAAAGTTATTGTTTTAAATCTAAATCATCATGTGTTTTGGTTGTAACATTCCAGATCCAAAGGCTGTGTAGGGGAAATTGAGGACTGTGTAGAAAACTGGACGTTGTTTAAATGTATTTGCTATCTCAAAGCGCCACAGAACTTACTTCCATTTTTTAATTCCCATCAGTCTTTTATCTTCCTTTATTTCTGGTCCTTTTAGTTCTCTCTCTTTTATAGATTTGCCTTTCCCCCTTCAGGCCAGTGGTACAGAAATTTCAAAACATTCTCTTGTAGCTGTTGATTTAAAACTCCTAGCTGGCTGACTGTGCTGGATTTAACTGAAACCCTGGTAGTTTTTATGAACTAAGAAGATCTTTAAAATGGTTTAAAACTGCCTGACATTGTTCTGGAGGAAAAGGCAGATGTCAGTTGCCTAAGGAGCCAGCTGGACCTTCCAATCCTACCAATATCTGTATGATCTGCTGACCAGAGAGACAACCAAGATGAGGAGGAGAGGAGTGAAGGAACGGGGTTGCCATCATAGACAGAAAAAGAAATTAAACAGAAACAATGAGGTGTTCACTTTGTATCCTTTCCCTTTTTACCTTTTTCTTTTTCTGTTTGTCTGTTTGGCTTTGTCCCAGAATTATTTGTTGAAATGGTGGTAAATTATCCTTTGAATGGAGGGCTATTTTAATTCAATTGTGAAACACCCCAGACTTCTATTCTCAGTCCTGCTTCCTGAGTAAAATAACTGAGATTCTAACATAAAACTATGCTTTTGAGTGCTCAAACAGCCACTTTATTATCCCACATTTAAGCTAGTTGACCTGCATAAATAATACATTTTTCAGGTTGGTGGCTGAACTGGGCGAAGGGGAGGGGGAAGGTCCATTTTGAACCAAAACCGCACTTTTCCATTTTTTTTCTTGAAAAGAATCAAACAAACAATTTTTTTTGGTGCCAAATGAAAATTTATTTGATCTGAAAAAAAATGCGGGTCTTTTTCTGTTTTTGTTTAGTTTCTTTTTAAGTGTTTTTTACCCTCAAAAAACCAATTAATCAAATTAGCTAAATTTCTAAACAAAAGATTGTTTCAAAGTGACAAGTCAAATCTTTTGTTTACAAAAAATCAGCTTTTTATTCTTCCAAAACTATTCACCAAATGCAACCTCCATTTGCAAATATTTTCATCCTGAAATTGCATTTTTCTGCAAATTTACTATTTGAGCAAAAAAATTCTCCCAGCTCTACTATTATCACAGCAGAGGATCTCTCTTCCTTTCTCTGTGGGAGGAGACTAGGTGCCAGTTCTTGGGTGCATGGAAAATAACAATGTGACCCCAGGAGAAAGAGCTTAAATCACACCACTATGTGCCAGATTTTCCAAGGAACTCAGCACCCACAATTAGGGCTGGATGTTCAAGGGGACTGAAGTCCCATTTACCCAGGGTGCTGAGCTCTTCTGAAAATCTGACCATAAAAGTCACAAGCTACTGCATGCTGAGCACTTTAGAAAGCCTGGCCCCATGTGAAAGGAACACCCGCGAAAGGAGCCCACTTGTAACTTACCCCAGTTTCTGCAGTTTGCAGTTTGGGTGTTTCAGTCCTTCACACAACTGTTTCACACCTGAGTTGTCCATTGTTTTCTCTCCCAGGATCAGCTCTGTCAGCGTCTGGTTGGTGCTGAGAGCAGAGGCGAGATCCCCACAACAAGCAGCTGTGAAATGGCAACCACTCAGTCTGCAGGAGCCAGAGATATACAAAGATTTGTGACTGCCTATTTTTGCCCCATTCACTGCCATCAGCAGTCTTCATTCTAGACATGTACAGATAAACCATAGTGCTCTGAGAGGAGGCTTGGGGATTATTCATAAATTCTAAGGCCAGAAGGTTCTTCACTTGTGAGGTAACGCCCTTCTCTTCATGTGTCAGTATAATAATCCCTGCATCTGTAAGTCTCACTCCATGCATTTGAAGAAGTGGGTTTTTTACCCACAAAAGCTTATGCCAAAATAAATCTGTTAGTCTTTTAAGGTGCCACCCGACTCCTTGTTGTTTTTGATAAATAGCGTGTAACTCTCAACACCACCATGTTAACAGGCACAGACTAAAGGGAACCAGCTGGTACTTACTGCAGTTTCTGTAATTTGCAGTTTGTATGTTTTAATCCTTCACACAGCAGCTGCACTCCTGAATCTCCTAGGTTGTTCCACTTTACGCCGAGCTCTGTCAGGGTCTGGCTGGTGCTGAGAACAGAGGACAGATCCCCACAGCAAGCAACTGTGAGATCACAATACCCCAGTCTGTAGGATATGAAGATATACAGAGAGCAAAATGACGACTCGTTTATGCCCCATCCTCTGCATTTCTCCTCCTTGATACCTGTATGTAACGCTAAAGTGATTCTTAATTTAGAAGCAATACAGAAATCACTTCATTTTGATTCAGATTACAAAAAGACCCCCTATACGAGGCTCTAGACCAGGGGTGAGCAAACTACGGCCCACGGGCCATTTTAAGCCAGCCCTCGAGCTCCCACTGGGGAGTGGAGTCTGGGGTTGTCCTGCTCTGGTGCTCTGGCGCTCCAGCTGGGGAGAAGAGTCGGGGGCTGCTCCATGCGGCTCCCGGAAGCCGCGGCATGGCCCCGCTCCAGCTGCTGCGCACTCCAATGGCCCCCTCTGGCACTCCCATGGGAGCTGTAGGGGTGGTACCTCCTGCACCCCAACCCCAATTTTGTGAGCATTCACGGCCAGCCAGACAATTTCTATTCTCAAATGTGGCCCTTGGGCCAAAAAGTTTGCCCACCCCTGCTCTAGACCTCTAACACACCATTAGTGCTACAACCAAAACCCCAGTAGCATTAAATTAATTATTCTAATAGGAACTCATCCATCCAGCTACAGAAAGCACCTTCCCACTCCTCAACCCTCTCTAAAACCCCGATCAACCAGAGGCTCTTTGCAGCATGCCCAGAAGGTCCCTAAATGTGGGGTATTTTGGACTGGGGGGAAGGGCAAGTCCCAGAGCCCTCACAGAGGCCAGCCATCCCTTCTCTTTTATAACAAATGGGGGCTCAGCTCAGGCTCCCATGCTGACTGCAGTTGGGGCAGTCTGGTCTAGTGACAGATACAATCCCTCAGGTAGGCCAGTCCCAGATCATTTAGGACTTTACAGATCAGAATCAGCCTCTTAAACTCCACCCAGAGACCAATGGGCAGCCTGTGCAGATCCTGGAGCCATGTGCTCCCAGCAGGATGCCATGCTCAGTAAGTGACCTAGTGCTGTCTACACTGGGGCTTAGGTCGGTTTAACTGAGTCTCTCGGGGTGTGTGTGAATTTTTCACACCCCTGCATGACATAGCTGAGTCGATCTAACTTTCTAGTGACGACCAAACCTTAGCGAGTAAAATAAGCAGAGGATCTACAGAAAATGTCTATGGGGCATGAAGAGGCTCTGTGTGACCCAACTTCTATCTAGTAAAATACGACAAATCTACAGTGCAGTGAGGTCTCTCAGCTGTACGTGGGAGGAGAGTAGGTGTTTTTGGGAGGTCATTAGACGAACCAGTTGGGATTTTTTCAGTGAAATAGTTTTTCCATCAGAAAATGCAGATTGGTCACAAACTTTTTATGGGCATGTCTCAGTGTTGATGAAAGTTCTGCCGGGAAGGTCTTTCCGAGCCAGGCTGGACTTTCTGGGCAAAACTACAGCGAGAGCAAGACTAGAATAGCCAGTAGCTCCGTGGTTGGGGCATTCACCTGGCTTGTGGGAGGCCCAGCTTCGTCTCTTCACAAATCAGGCAGAGCAGTGGCTTTGCCCCTGTGCCCCCCACACCTCAGTGAGTGCCCTAACCAGTGGGAGATTGGCTAGTTTAGCTCCTCTCTCTCTAAGAAGGTGTTTTTTTCATCACAATGAAGAACAGGGGGAAATATTGAGTTTTCACAAGATGGAAAACAGCTTCCCACAGCTGTCAGGCGTACGGATGTCCCAGTAGAAAAAGCTCAGGTCACTGTAGTACAATGTTAATTAGCACTGTCATAAATATAAAGGGAAGGGTAAACCCCTTTAAAATCCCTCCTGGCCAAGGGAAAAATCCTCTCACCTGTAAAGGGTTAAGAAGCTAAAGGTAACCTCACTGGCACCTGACCAAAATGACCAATGAGGAGACAAGATACTTTCAAAAGCTGGGAGGAGGGAGAAAAACAAAGGGTCTGTGTCTCTCTGTCTATATGCTGCTTTTGCCGGGGATAGACCAGGAATGGAATCTCAGAACTTTTAGTAAGTAATCTAGCTAGGTATGTGTTAGATTATGATTTCTTTAAATGGCTGAGAAAAGAATTGTGCTGAATAGAATGACTATTTCTGTCTGTGTGTCTTTTTTGTAACTTAAGGTTATGCCTAGAGGGATTCTCTATGTTTTGAATCTAATTACCCTGTAAGGTATCTACCATCCTGATTTTACAGAGTGATTCCTTTACTTCTATTTCTATTAAAAGTCTTCTTGTAAGAAAACTGAATGCTTTTTCATTGTTCTCAGATCCAAGGGTTTGGGTGTGTGGTCACCTATGCAAATTGGTGAGGATTTTTACCAAACCTTTCCCAGGAAGGGGGGTGCAAGGGTTGGGAGGATTTTGGGGGGAAAGATGTACCCAAACTACGTTTCCCAGTAAACCCAGTTAGAGTTTGGTGGTGGCAGTGGATAGTTATCCAAGGACAGAGGATAAAATTAATTTGTACCTTGGGGAAGTTTTAACCTAAGCTGGTAAAAGTAAGCTTAGGAGGTTTTCATGCAGGTCCCCACATCTGTACCCTAGAGTTCAGAGTGGGGGAGGAACCTTGACAAGCACAGACTGCAGGAAACCATCTGTTACTTACATTAATTTCTGCAGTTTGCAGTCTGGATGTTTCAGTCCCTCACACAGCAGCTGCACGCCTGAATCTCCCAGTTTGTTATCCGCCAGTTCCAGCTCTGTCAGGCTCTGGCTGGTGCTGAGAATAGTGGAGAGATCCCCACAGCAAGCAGCTGTGAGGCTGCAACTCCCCAATCTACAAGAGACAAACACACAGAGAGGAACCTGATCACTTGTTTCCTCCCTGTTGGGTGTGGTTCCCTCACTGATGTCGGTGTCTGTCGGGAGAAGGTTTCATTTCCATTCTGGAGGGAGGGAAGGATGGCTCTTGCCACATGTGCCACTAGCCAAATACTCGGGGGCTAGGGACTTCCCAGATCCTCAGTGACTGAGGGGTTAATTCTGGCTTCCTTCCATCTATCCTTGCACAGGTGCTCAGGGAAAGGGCTATCAAAACAGCTGCTGGGCGCAGAATGGCTGTGGGTTGAGATGGCCGCAAATCCAGGCTGAGCGAGCCTCAGGCTGGGGTGGTTTATGGTTTGATGTGTTTAAGTTGTTTTGCTTTGCTGACTGAGATTTTTTTCTGCTGAAATATCCTTCCTGATTACCAGTCTTGCTGCCGCACAGTGCTAGGACCATGGTACCACCCTGGACACCTGCTGCTCATGCTGCCTCTTCCCGACTCTCAGTAAGACATTTGCTGTTGTAGCTGAGTCTTCAGAGCTTTAATGGCCCTGCAAGTTTCGCCTGAAACTACCTCTGGGAGGATATATATCATATGGGGTCCCGAAGGGGTCTGTCCTGGGTCCAGTACTGTTCAATATTGAAAATAGGCTAATATCAGTGTAGGGTGTATTAGCAGGAGAGTTGTAAGTAAGGCATGGAAGGTGATTGTCCCACTTTACTCATCACCGGTGAGGCCTCAGCAGGAGTACTGTGTTCAGTCTGGGGCATCACAGTTCAAGAAAGATGTTGACAAATTAGAGAGTCCAGATGAGAACAACAAAAGTGAAAAGAGGTTTAGAAAACAAGCTCCACAAGAAAAGGTTGAAAGAATTGGGCATGTTTAGTCTACAGAAGAGAAGGCTGAGGGGCAACATGATAACAGTCTTCAAATATGTGAAAGGGTGTTATAAAGAGAATGGTGATCCATTGTTCTCCATGTCCACCAAGGGTAGGACAAGAAGTAATCAGCTTAACCAGCAGCAAGGGAGATTTAGGTTGGATATTAGGAAACACTTTCTAACTATAAGGATAGTAAAGCCCTGGAACAAGTTACCTAGGGAGACTGTGGAATCCACGTCCTTGGAGGTTTTTAAGAACAGGTGAATCTCTGTGAAACACCTGTCAGGGATGAGCTAAGTTTACTTAATTCTGCCTCTGCACTGAGGGATGAACTCGAAGAACCTCTTGAGGTCCCTTCCAACCCCACATTTCTATGGAGTGGAAGGTGCAGGGCCTGGGGCTGATGGGAGCGCAAGCATTACAGTTCTGTAAACACAGCAGCCAGAGCTACCATGCTAGCAGGTACAGACTGAAGGAGACCAGCCGATACTTACAGTATTTTCTGCAGTTTGCAGTTGGGATGTCTCAGTCCTTCACACAGCAGCTGCAGTCCTGAATCTCCCAGCTTCGTCCCCCAAAGGTTCAGTTCTGCCAGGGCCTGGCTGGTGCCGAGGGCAGAGGACAGAAACCCACAACATGCAGCTGAGAGTCTGCACCACTCCATCCTGCATGAAATGAAGAGAGAATGGAAAACTACTCATTTCTGACCCATGCACTGTGTTCCCCTCACAGATGTCCATGTGAGTCTAGAAAGATCTATTATTCTTGGAGTGCAGGGAGAGACGACAGCGCTGTGGGAAGAGGCCGGGGGGAATAAAAACACGAAAGGTCATTAGTATAGATTTCTTCCATGCACATCTGTCAGGCAGGGTTTAACTCTCATTTATGTTGGTGTAACTCTGGAGCAAATCCATTGTAGTCAATAAAGACAGGCTTGCAAATACAGAGCAGCTGAGAGCACAGTCTGGCCCGTTATGTTGGTTACCCAGCACTCCACAAGTGACTGTTCAGTTGAAGTGAGGGGAGGGGGCGGGTTGTGAGGGTAATTTTAGTGGGTTGGGAGGTGTAAGGTCATGGCTGGAAAATAGTTCAAACGTTTTCATTGCTAGCACTCTGGATCCCTTCTAGTTTAAGCAGATGGAGCCAGAATAAACTCTCCAGCCCTGAAACGTTCCCCAGGGCCACGAATATTCATTACCTGTCCCTTGTAAGAAGAGACACCCTTAATCCCAGAAGACAAACTACCTGATCATTCTCACCCCCCACATTGTTGAGGATACAGTACCTTCCCCCTGTGACAGCCTCTGTCTAGCACAATGGGAATCCTCAAACCTCTCAGCCCCCACCCTGCCAGTGAGTGACAGACGCAATAGAAATGTGTGACAATGACTGGAATGCGGAACACTGGGGTCTTGCTTTACATGGCACCATGACTGAGCAGATTAACGATTTTTAACTAACCGTCTGCTTTTAATGCTGTTTCTTTCCTGTATGAATTAAATAAACTAGTTGTTTATGAAGAAAACTAGAAAAAAACCAAGAACTCAGTCCAGTGGCACCTGAAGGACCCTTGCACAGGGCGGCAGCCAGGTTTGGATCAGAGACTTTCAAGTACACAGAACAGATTGTTGCCACCTGAGATGAAATACTAACTATTTATCCTATGCATGGACCAGCCTGCAGAGAGGGGGTTTCCAGTGGGTCACATAGCTATTGACCATACAGCAGTAGAAGGCTGGATGCTATTTGACGTTCAGATAGCAGGCAGCTCCCTGTGATGATGCGCCGTGTTGCTATCAGTGGATATGTACTGAGTGGGACACCGGGGTACAATGAACAGGTGTCCCAGAAGTTGTCATTTCCTTGCTTTTAAGGATTTGTGTTGAGCGGGTGTCCCACTCACCCAGCCATAATCCTTTCTAAATAAAGATTTAGTTTATGGAGTATCCCGGTTTAATACCACAAATGTAGGAAGGTTTGGGGGGAGGGGCGAGGAAAGGGGGAGCAGGGATATTTGAAGTGGGGTTAATGGTGTGTATGGGGTCCCAGCAGGTCCATTTCCAACCTGTCTAACTCCAGCACAAAGGGGCCTGTGTTCTTGGTTCCTACCTGTCAACTGCCGCCTCTGCTCTGCCTGCCAAGACGTGGCTCCTTGGAGCTCTGAAGCTTTGACAGAGGCTCTTCTGCTCCCAGTCATCCCTCAGTGTAAGCCCCCAAACTGCCACAGCAAACTCCTTCTCCGAGCAGCTCTGCCCTGTGTGGAGGGAGCTGGGCCGCACACCCTTTGATTTTGGCAGCAGCACCATTGCTTCTCCTTCCTCCCTCCCCACAGGCCATCTGGACCTGGATGAGAAATTGCCTAAAAATGGAAATCCCTTCCCACAAAAAAATTTCCATTTTTGAAAATGATCTGCACCAAATTGGGACAAAAATTCAAAATATTTTGTGGGAAAGAACTTCCAGAAAAATTCCATTTTGGGAGAACCAAAATGATTCCCTAGCTGCCCGCCTGGCTCCAGGGCTGCCTGGCTTCCCAGACGTCTGGAGAGGAGACTAGCTAGGGAACTGGGCAGACCAGGAGAGCTGGCTGTTGATCTGAGAACCCGGGAAACCTAGGGTCTTGCAGTTTCTCCAAGCAGAGAGGCTGGAGCTGACTTCTCCATACTTTTTGCCACTGTTGTTGGGGTCGTGTGACTGCCAGGTCACGCACTGTGCCTAGTGCGACAACAGCTGGGAGATGTACCTGGCGGCAGTTCTGGGAGGGGGTCACCTATTCTAGAACCCTCTTGACAAAGGCAACATTGAAAGCTCATGCTCAAATAAATTGGTTAGTCTCTAAGGTGCCACAAGTACTCCTTTTCTTTTTGCGAATACAGACTAACACGGCTGTTCCTCTGAAACCTGTCATTGAAAACCTTAAAGCAGGTCAGTTCGGCTTTTGGCAAGGAAGCTGTCAACTTTTGCAAGCTCCCTACATCCCAGGAGAAGAAGAAAAGCTGCCTTTACATCCAGGGCAAACACCACAAGTTCTCAGCTACTGTCCTGTAGCTGTCACCTCTGTCTGGGCAGGGACCCACGTCCCTCTTCCTCCTGACCAGGGGTTTAGGCTTTCTCCTTTTCCAAGGCAGACGCTCACTGTCCTGCCATGACAGCATCAAAGCAGCTGAGTGCAGATACCCCAGGACAGTGAGTGACACAAGCTGCCTCTGTTTGAGACAGTTGTCAATCAGAGTGGGGTGGGTGGTGAGGTAGGAGTGATCTGTCACTAACACAGTCTCCAGAGATCCCTTCTCTGCAGCACATTAGATCCAAAGCTGGTGGGGGGTGGGCACTGCACCAGGTTCACAAGGCCATTATTTCACCTTGTTCCCTGCTCCCTACAGTGAGTTTCTCCATCAGTTGTCTAGTCTACTGTGATGACATCCCAAGTCATGGAGCCTCCACCCCTTCCAGGTGGAGACTATTCCATGGGCCAGTAGATCTAACAGAGCAGCACAGCAGTGAAGCAGACTCACCCTTCAGCTGTGTATCTTCCCTGCCCCCCCCATCACTATCAGTGAGTTACTGAGTCGATCCTCACTCTCCTCCGAGCTGTGAGCGAGAGTCGAGGCAGTTGCCACCAGGGAGAGGAGCCACCATCACTCTCTGCAGGGCTGTGGGGGATGAGAGGCAAATCATCCATGATGGTGGGAATAAAAGGAGAAAAAAACCAAGAGCCCTGAGACGAGTCCTCTCCACCTACATACTGACAGGCAGAGCTGTGAGGTCCTGCTTGGGGGCTGGTGGGGAGAGATGGGGACAGAAGCAGCTCAACATGGGTCCTGACATGGGTCTGATGTTCTGGGGAGAGAATGAGGGTTCCTGAATTAGGGGTTGGTGGCTCTAACCCCAAACCGCCAATGATGGGCAGCAGCTGCAGTAAAAGAAGTCTAATTTTGACTTTCACTTTGCTGGTGCTTTTGGGGCAGATTTTCAAGAGAGCTCAGCATTCAATGTTGAAGGCTTCAAAATCTGGGCAGAAAAGTGTCACAAGTATTAAAGTTAATATGTAAAGGTGTCAAAGTCATTAAAATTATCTTTAAAATGGGCTGTTAGTGGAAGGGTAAGAGAGTGCTCTTTTTTTAAAAAAAGCCAAATATTAAAGATTGGTTTTAAAACATTAAAATATTTATTTTCCCAAAATTGGGACGGTGTTACCAGCCGTCTGCTGTGGGCCCACCTTTGCTTAATATTTCCATTTTCCAAACAGGGCAGGCTGGGTGCGTGTTGTAAGCCAATGACAACGGTGCTGGAGAGACATTTAACTCTCATCTTTTCCATATACCTACAGGGGGCAGACACCAGACACAAGCGACAGCCCCTGTGAAGCGTTTTACATAGAGGTCACCTGAAAATACACAGAGGAGACCAAATATTACTTACCCCAGTATCTGTAATTTGCAGTTTGGATGTTTCAGTCCCTCACACAGCAGCTGAACTCCAACATCTCCCAGAGAAAAATTATAACTGAGGTCCAGCTCTGTCAGGCTCTGGCTGGTGCTGAGAACAGTGGAGAGATCCCCACAGCAGGAGCCCGTGAGACCACAACATCTCAACCTGCAGGAGAGACAAATGCAGGGCAGATCCATCAGAGAGTGAATGAGGCTCATCACAGCCGTTCTGACAGGTGGCCCTGCCCACCATCTCCTTTCCCTGACCAATCAGCATCAGGAATGAGCCAGAAATCCAGCCCTAGACTCTGTCCCAAGACCCATGCCTTGACCAATGAGAACCCAGAACCAGGTTTGGGTGTGACTTCCTGCATTAGTTCCACTGCTTGCACTATAAAGAGAGAGAGAGAGAGAGAGAGAGAGAGAGAGAAATTTCAAGGAAGGCTCTAGGAAAGGGTTAGGAAGAGGAAAATGGGGAAGATGGACAGAGAAGTTTAGAGGGTGGAAAATATCAGAAGAGAGAAGTTAATTGGAGGGTAAAAACAGACACTACAAAACAATGAGGAAAAAAGAGTCAGAGAGAAAAGGAGAGAAGAAAACATTCAAGCAGAGAAAAACTAAAAATAGTAAATGGCACTCTGTTACATTATTTTATATCAAGTTTGATGCCAAAACATTGCAATAAAATATGCTCATGGCATGTGGCCAACCCCAAAAGTTCCAAAATCATGAGTCAGGCTCCAAAAAAATCACAATATCGGCTTAGAATTCAGGGGATTTTTTTTACAAATATATTTTGGGTTCTTTTTCTTTGTCTTCTGGTTTTTGAGACTTTAGGGTTTGTGTTTTCAGGCTCTCTCTGTAACCACAGGGGCTAGAAACTTAGCTTTCATTTTTAAAAAGTGAGGGGCTCACTTATTCACATGACTCCAGGAGCTGTGACTTTAAGAAAAACCATCAAATATCAAAATTTGTGATAAAATCATGAGATGGCAACAATATTATATATCAGACAACGTGACTCCATAGGACAACCGGGCTACAGAGACCCCATTAGGAATGGCAGGTGGGCATGGGAGTCCATTTGTCCAGAGATTAGAGGAGGGAATAACCTGATTTTTGTTTACCTCAAAATCTTTACTGTAAAATAATGGGTTTTCAGTCCTCCTTTAATTGCAAATCTGAATGCAAACTTAATTATAGAATTGCTAGCACTCCCTCCACAGGTTTTTCCCCAGTGTTGGTGCTGGGTTTTAGACTACTTCATGCTTGCATCTACCTGAAATAATCATATATATTTTGGAGTTCTGTGATTTTGATGCACATCTGTTTTCGCAGTACATTACCTGATGCATTCGCAAGTTATCCTAGCACGGAAGTCCAGATGAACACCAGCTGTCCTTGAATTATTGATTGATTTATTATTATTATTATTGATTATTGAATTATTGCACAGCATTCTGACTTTGAAACATATGAAAAGCGTCTAAAATACAGGAAATTGCACCTAACTTTTCAAAAATGCCTGGGTGCAGTGGCTAGTTCATGCCGCTGCTCACCGCTGTCCGTGCTACCATGGCTACGCTACTATTTTTAATGCACTATCTCAGATCAGCACTAGCATGAATGTCCGTACGTGAGCTGGGAATCACACACCCCCAGCTCCAACTGCAGACAAAGCCTAAGGCTTCTAGGGCAGAGAGCTACTTATCAATGGATAGAGAGTAGGGGCAGTAAGGAGGGGTCCAACCACGGTATCTGATCTGAGGAACTGTGTCTGGGAAATTTCAGGAAGCTGTCTACCCAAGGCCTGGAGCTAACCAAGCAAACATGCAAAAGCCATGAAGAGCTGTGGGGAGGTGAACTCCTGCCGCCCCCCAGACCTCATGGATGCATACTTAGAACAGCTAGCCTATGCTGCTGCTCGTGCTGCCGTAGCTACATCACTAAATTTAGCACTCTGGGTCGATGAAAGCTAGTGTGAGTATGTCTAGTCACTCTGGGAATCACACCCCCAGCTCCGAGTGCAGACGTAGCCTTCGTGTGGGCAAAAGACTGTGGGAGTGTCTCATGGATATGAGACTTTTCCACTCCAATCCAAGATTTACATGGAAGACGCACAAGAAATACAAGCCAGCCTCTGGAAAGCATTACTCTAGGCACCAGCCACCAAACCAGTGCAAACGAGTTTCAGCCACGGCACACAAAATTACTACAGACACAGGTACACCTCAGGATCAAAGCTTGTGTTGAACAAAGCAAGGTTAGTGGCTGAAAAGCCCTTTATCAGCTTCGATTAGATCCCTGACCTGGTCTGCATCACCAGAGCCTGGCTAGATGACACTGCAGGCTGGGAGCTGGATCATTTCATCCTTCCAGGTGACACAGTGCCCTACAGACCCAGACCAGGCAGTTCCACTGGCAGAGAGCCAATTTTATTGCCATCCAGTTTCAAATGCAAAAGAAGCTCCTTTGTAACAAAATCCTCTGAGTGCATCTACTTAATCTGAGAGACCAATGACGAGACCAATAAGACATCCCAATAGCACAGATCTATTACTACAGAAAGCTCAAGTTTTCTGGAGGAGCTGACAGAGACACTGGCTGATATGGTGTCAAGGTTCCTTCCCCACTCTGAACTCTAGAGTACAGATGTGGGGACCTGCATGAAAACCTCCTAAGCTTACTTTTACCAGCTTAGGTTAAAACTTCCCCAAGATACAAACTATTTTACCTTTTGCCCTTGGACTTTCGCTGCCACCACCAAACGTCTAACCGGTATTTATTATTGGGAAAGAGCCGTTCGGAAACATCTTTCCCCAAAAAATCCTCACCAAAACCTTGCACCCCCCTTGCCTGGGGAAGGTTTGATAAAAATCTTCACCAATTTGCGTAGGTGACCACAGACCCAAACTCTTGGATCTTAAGAACAATGAAAAAAGCATTCAGTTTCTTATAAGAAGAATTTTAATAGAAGAAAAAGTAAAAAGAATCACTTTTGTAAAATCAGGATGGTAAATACCTTACAGGGTAATTAGATTCAAAACATAGAGAATCCCTCTAGGCAAAACCTTAAGTTACAAAAAGACACAAAAACAGGAATATACATTCCATTCAGCACAGCTTATTTTCTCAGCCATTTAGAGAAATCAGAATCTAACGCATATCTAGCTAGATTACTTACTAAGTTCTAAGACTCCATTCCTGTTCTGTCCCCAGCAAAAGCATCACACAGACAGACCCAGACCCTTTGTTTCTCCCTCACTCCAGCTTTGAAAGTATCTTGTCTGCTCATTGGTCATTCTGGTCAGGTGCCAGTGAGGTTATCCTAGCTTCTTAACCCTTTACAGGTGAAAGGGCTTTTCCTCTGGCCAGGAGGGATTTTAAAGGTGTTTACCCTTCCCTTTATATTTATGACACATGGTGATGCAGTTCCTGAGGCTCATCATTCTTGGAGGCTTAAGGATTCACACTGACAATGCATCTGATCCAATGCACAAAACTTTCTATTTGCCCTGTTCACCTTTGGATTCTCACAGGCAGTCTCTTAAACACAGACATAGTTGGTCACATCCTGACCTTTATAATGAATGTGGATCACTCCCCGATGCCAGTCAGATTACCACCTCCAAAAGAGAAAGAACATAAGAACGGCCATGCTGGGTCAGAGCAAAGGTCCATCTAGCCCAGTATCCTGTCTTGTGACAGGTGCCCCAGAGGGAATGAACAGAACAGGTAATCATCGAGTGCTCCATCCCTTATCGCCCATTCCCAGCTTCTGGCCAACAGAGGTGAGGGACACCATCTCTGCCCATCCTGGCTAATAGCCATTGATGGACCTATCCTTCATGAATTTATCTAGTTCTTTTTTTAACTCTGTTATAGTCTTGGTCTTCACAACATCCTCTGGCAAGGAGTTCCACAGTTGACTGTGTGTTGTGTGAAAAAATTCTTGTGTTTGTTTTAAATCTGCTGCCTCTTAGTTAATTAATTTCCAGGCAAGAAGGTCTTAATGTCATGGTCCATCCTAGAGAGCTCATTGAGCCAGTTAGATCCACAAAGCACTGATGCCCTAGCCCAGCAGCCAAGGACTAGAAGAACCAGTGAGACATCACAGTCACTGACTGACCACAGCCATGAATACTTTGGTTCTAAAGCACTTCCTTCCCGTATGGCCCTCACAGAGCTTTGTGGTTTCTTCTTCCTGTGACAGATGATGCAAGGAGGCAAGAAAACCAACCATCAGTGTTGAGAACACTCAAGAAGAAACAGATGTCTTAACAACGAATTCTTCTTTGCCTGCTCCTTGGCCATGGAGGAGACCAAGAAATCCTCCTTCTCCTCTTCCATAGCAACCACCAACGCTACATCGATGCAGTTGGACTATGGGGTGTGAATTGCAACAGCACAGCATTCTGGTGCATGCAGCTACCCAACGTGGATGGTCCTAGTGTGAACTAGAGATACCTAGCTTGTGTTAACATAGTCCTCTTCAAACAGGACTACATTAGCGTGCACTAGGTACCTTTTTGTTTGCACCTACATTGTCTATATGGGGGAGTTACAACACAGCACTTTGGTGCATGCTGCACTTAACACCCCTGTAGTCTGAACTGCAGGGCTGTGTAGACAAGCCCCAAGTCACACCCCACAGAACTATTCTGGATTGTCAATAACATTGCTAACCTAGATGTCTCCTAGCTCCAGAGCCCAGCACCACTCAGCGTGAGGAACTGTACCCACTTCACAGAGAAGATCTTCCACATCCAAGATGGCCTCTATGGCCATCAGGGATAACACAACACGCTCCCCAGAATTCTGTTCATTTACAAAACAGAAATTCTAGACATGCTAGAGGAAATCTGAGCCTCTGCCTATGACTCTGATCCTTGATCTCTGTGGCTAGTGCAGGACAGCAAGAGCAGGGCCATCCCTAGGGGGGTGCGGGGCCCGGGACGGATGTGATGAATCCATCACTTCTGGGACCGACCCGTCACTTCTGGGAGCGACCGCACTGGCCAATTGCTCAGGCCCGCAGGGCCCCCAATGCGCGGGGCCCAGAGTGGTCGCCCTGATTCGCCGTACCCTAGGAACGGCTCTGAGCAAGAGCATCTAGAACCCCTACTAACAAATACTGTCATCGTCTGCTTTTGAGGATAGAAATCTGCTCCCCCGACCTGGGGCATGCAGTACCCTGGCCAGGACTTAGGAATCCATGGCTTGATGCAACAAGCCTCACAAGTGAATGCCCGGGATCATCAGGTCTCCTGTTTCTGAGCAATCTAGTCAAGCAGCTACTGAACAGTTGCATCCAACTTCACCTGTCCATTGGCAGTATCCAGCTGGGTTTTAGGCCTAGACACAGAACAGACACGGCACTGCCAACGCTGCTGGAGAACCTCCTCCTGTCCACAGGCGAGAGGATTTTTGAAGCTTTTTACAGTCAGGATTTGCAGAATGGGGACAAACCCTGTTCTTGTTGGAGTCAACAGTAAAACTTGGAGATGGGGTGGGGGAGCGCCTTAGTATCGGGATGCTGTATGCAGCAAAAACTGCTTTCATCAGGCTGAACGATGACGGGAGGACATGGGATGGAGAACAGAGAAGATTCAATGGCAGCCTGGGTGTAGGTGGGGGGACTTGAGGAAGTAAAAATCAACAGGGAGGTCACAAGCCTGGATGGTGGGGTAGGGTCAGGGGCAGAGGGAGGAGCAGGAAGGGATCAAGGCAGCAGGAACTGACTTAAATGAATCTTACATTCTTTTGTGTCCAGTTGGCTCAATGGGGTGGGAGGTGAATTCCCTCAGCTCTGTAAGTGCTTTGAGATCCTCAGCTAGACGGTGCTCTAGGAGGGCATGTCATTCGGCTTCAGGGATAGAGACTGTTCCTGTCCCTCCCACCACCTACCCTACAGACCGGGGAGAGGGATGAGAAGTGGATGCGGGGGTGACTGGACATGAGGAGAAATTGTTAACAGAGGTGGTGATTTTCCTTCACTGAAAGGGTCCTTATGGGTAGTGGCTCGTTCTTGCTCTCACATGCTTGAGGGTGGGGAGAAAGTATCCCCAACTGAGGCATTAATAGGAGAGACTCAGCTTTTAACCTCACCATGTACCTGCAGGAAGTTGATCATACCCCATCATACCTCCTGCTAAGGTCTTCACATAAAGAAAACTGGTCAATACTTACACTAATCTCTGCAGTTTGCAGTTTGGCTGTTTCAGTCCTTCACACAGCAGCTGCATTCCCATGGCTCCCAGTTGATTATCACTCAGGTCCAGATCTGTCAGCGACTGGTTGTTGCTGAGAGCAGAAGAGAGCTCCCCACAACAAGCAGCTGAGAGTTTACAAGCCTTCAATCTGAAAGAGATAGATGCACAGATTAGAGAATGAGCATGTCTGTCTATCCGGTCCTCTCTTCTCAATAGAAATTCCAGCATGGGAAGAATTTACCATAGTCCCCATGACCCTTAATCTAAGGATTTGCAACATATCAATAAACAAATGCATAGAGACTGGTGTGAAAAATGAAGAATAAGAGAATTATATAGGAAGCCAGTTGTAAATTAGAGTTTCTCTTTCTTGTAGACTAAAAGTCTCAGTGCTTTAGAAAGAAATATCACGCAGATCCAGGAGAATATGACCAAAATAGACAAATGGAAGATATATTGTCCTCTTGTATCAATCTAGCTGCATTTACACCAGGGGTTGAATTTTTAATTTAATTGACTTTTCCACAACTCTGAGCCACGTAGCTATGTTGACCTAAATTTTAAGTGTAGATCAGGCCTTAAACATGATGGCTAGTGTGACAAAGTTCCTGCTCTACCTTGGTGGGTCTTGCGTTTATTGGCAGATTTGGTCGCCTTGGAGCTTCACGGCAGCCCTCAGCTTGGCCATTTTTCTGAACCCACAGTCCAGGTCGACTCCTCCTGAGTTTGACCAGCAGTTGGGAGGATTTGGGGGGAATCCGGGCCCGTCCTCTACTCTGGGTTCCAGCCCAGGGCCCCGTGGAATGCAGCTGTCTAGAGTGCCTCCTGGAACAGCTGTGCGACAGTGACAACTCCCTGGGCTACTTCCCCATGGCCTCCTCCCAACACCTTCTTTATCCTCACCATAGGACCTTCCTCCTGGTGTCTGATAATGCTTGTACTCCTCAGTCCTCCAACAGTATGCGTTCTCACTCTCAGCTCCTAGTACCTCTTGCTCCCAGCTCCTCACACGCACACCACAAACTGAAGTAAGCTCCTTTTTAAAACCCAGGTGCCCTGACTAGCCTGCCTTAATTGATTCTAGCAGCTTCTTGATTGGCTGCAGGTCTTAATTGTCTCCAGAAGGTTCCTGATTGTTCTGGAACCTTCTCTGTTACCTTACCCAGGGAAAAGGGACCTACTTAGCCTGGGGCTAATATATCTGCCTTGTATTACTCTCCTATAGCCATCTGGCCAGACCCTGTCACACTAGATACCGAGGGCTTGTCTATACAAGGACATTGACCAGAATAGCTCCCTGTATGGACACACTATTCCAGAATCAAAGTCACTTTTCCTTTAGAACAATTACTCTGCTTTGCCAGCTATTGGGATTCTCATCTGTTGCAAGCTGCAGAGTAGTCCATTAGCAGCCTGGGGATCCGAGAGCTGCTCTAGTTTACACTAGGGAACCATTCCAATATCTGGAGCAGCCCTGAATCTGGGAGGCATAAAGGTGGTTTAAATCCATTTAGCCCCACCCTCTCGCTGGAATGTGAGATCTTTGCTGTCCCTCTTAGAAGCTCAGCAATGAATCTTACCCTTGGTGTTGGCAGCAGTGAGATTGTAAAAGAGAAGTTTACACTGAGGTGCTTCTATGGGCATCTGTTATGTCCATTAGCCTGTGTGCCAGATGTGTGTGTTCAGCTAAGCTGAAGGTGAGGATAGAGCGTGGCTGCATTTTCAGTGGGCTGGTGAATCCTGAAATGCAGCTGTGAAACTGTTCAAAACTTTTTCTTGGTGAGCTTGAAGGGGCCATGGGAAGTGCCTAGCTTCTATTTGCCAGAAGCTGGGAATGGGCGACAGGGGATGGATCACTTGATGACCTGTTTATTCCCTCTGAAGCACTGGCATTGGCCATTGTCAGAAGACAGGATACTGGGCTTGATGGACCTTTGGTCTGACCCAGTATTGCTGTTCTTATGTGGTGTGGCTGTGAGGAACCCCAAATGTGGGCCTAGTGTATGAGGAAGGGGCTCTACACATCCATCAGCAGCATAGTAGGCTCAGAGAGGTGTGAAGTGGCCCATTCATCTCAGTGAGATGTTCTCAGCTGAATGAGAACACAGCATGGAGATGAAAACAGCCTGAAACAATAGCTCCGAGAGGCGTGAACTGCTCCATTCATCTCAGTGGGAGTTCTCATCCCCCGCGCCGTCAGGTATTTAGCATTCCTGTTTACACATGGGAGGCAGGAAGCTGGGCTCAGATCCCCCAGAAGTTTCAAACATAAGTAACATAGGCTGGATCTGGCCTACAAGCTGCTTTAGTGTCCCACAGACATAAGGAAGTTTCCAGCCCTCATGGCAGCAGAGATCACCAATGTGAGCCAAGTTTGTAACCGATGCAGTGGAGTCAGCCTAAGCCTACAGAGAGCCTGAAACAATGACTCAGGAGTGAGGACTCTCCTATCCCCAGTAATCTGACTTCACTATCAACTTTATTGCTCGCCAGAGACATTTCAGTGCCAACATCAACTACTGAATCAATGATCACTGTAGTGGGTGGAATGAGGGGAGTAGAGGATGGGAGTGAAGCCCGCTGGGTTGGGAATTGGAAGTTGCTGCAGGGAAGAAAATGCAGAGAACACACAGGAGACAGCAGAAGAGAAAGCAGAGAGGGGAGGATGGAGAAGGAAGAGAAACCAAAGGCAGAAAAGCAGCGGGCTTAAAGGTGAGCAGATTTTTCCACTGATGATGAATGCAATAATAAAGCACTAAACAAACAATAAATAGTAACAAAACATTTAGTTTCTACATAAAGGCCATATTCTCCCCTTGATCTCTGACATGAGGGGGGCATTCCATTGTGCATCACGGAGAGAATATAGTATTTATAGTCTGACCTATGGACCATAATTAACCATAGAATTCAGCCCTCTTCAAGTGAGTTTGACACCCCGGCCTTACACGCTGGAGCATCTATGTACCATGCTCACGAACACTCTGCAGGGTTCACAGTCAGTCCTGCCTCCCTAATGGATCTTAAGACTGTGGCCACCTTCTCCAAGACTATGACATGGTTATCAAGTGTCATATTGGTTACTGAAAAACTAGGCCCATCCATTGCTGGAATGTCACAGGTACCTTATGTAACCCAGAGCGCCTCATCTATTATTAGGACAGCTACTGCAGGGGCTATTGTGACAAAAGTGACTAAATGCTTTTCTATTGCCCAGAGGGGCTGTGTGTTAAAGGTCTTTCTACAAACTGGTGCCTTCTCTCCGCTGAGAATGGGTTTCACTGCCTGCTGTGAGTACCTCACAGGCCAGACGCACCTCAGCCAGGCAGAAGCGGAAACCAGTGAATGTTACAGTTCACACACTGAGCTGGGCTGCTGAAAAGATGCACAAGGGGCAGGGAGACCACAGGAAGCCTCGTTTATAGGGTCGGGTGTAATAATAGCTGCCTTTTATTCAGAACCAACGTAAAAAGAGCAGTTGAGCTACTTTATGGAACAGGCAGCTGAAGCCACTACCGGCCTCCGCCCAAAACACAGGCCACATGCCAGGCTGGAGCAGGAGTTCACCCTGTGGCACCAGGGGGGGGGTTCTGTGACGATCTAATAACCCAGGGCAGTGGGTCGATTGTGTCTGTGTGCGACAGGGAAGCTGTCAGAAATACCACAGAACGAGAGACAGAAGGACAGAACAAGGCAGCCGAACAAGCCCTGGGGATGTTTCCCTGAGAAAAAGCCCAGAGAGAGCTTGTGGCAGCTCAGCGCTGGCTGAAAGAGGTGGGAGCTTTCAGCAAAGAAACTACCTCGTGTTTGAGTCTTCCCTTGTTTGAGGAAAGGGGACCGTGTGCAGTCTTCATAAACAAGACTGCATCAAAGATGCCTGGATCCATCACCAAATTTTGGCTAAATGCTCAAGTCAAAAAGGGGTGACACATCCCTGTCCTTGTGTCCTGTGCTGGGCCTCCCCATGAACTCAGTCTCCTTCTTCTTTCCCTACCTTAGGGGCAGAAGAATAACTAAAGGATGCAGGGAAGAGTAGAAAGGGGCCATGATAAAATACACCTGTATGTAATGGCCAGCAGAGCTGACTGGGTAAAACAAAAGAACATGCTGCACCCCTCTGAAGCGGGGTTAGCTACAGGCAAATCCCCCTCCTTGGCACATGAAGGAGTTACAGGAAAAATTCTTCCTTTCTGAGCCAGAATCCCTCCCACAGTTCCCCTGAGACGCACACCTCTCCCAGCATGGGAATGTGTCTATAAGGGACGACTGGGAGATTTAGGGTCATCAGGCTCATTTAGCATCATTGTGCTTTTATTAGTTATAAATCAAAATAAGTCTAAAATTATTTTTAAAATCATTACAACGATGATAAAACGGGGCTTTTATCAAAGTGATTAAGATTCTGCATTAGTTTTAAATGCCAGGCACACATTAGGAATCATTTATACATGATGACTTATTCTTCAGATTCAGGGGGATTGGAACTACTGCTCCAGTATGTGCCCATCTTTATTTATAAATTCCATTTACCGAACACGATGGGCTAGCGGACTGTTGGGAGCCACTGACACACCGGGGGCTGGAGGGACACTCAGCATTCAGCCTCTCTGGGTGTGTCTGCACTGCAGCGAGTCCCAGAGCCTGGGTTAACTGACTTGGGCTTGCAGGGCTCATGCTACAGAACTAAAAATAGCAGTGTAGATGTTCCTCCTTGGGCTGGAACCAGAACTGGGGGTGGATCTTAGAGCCCAGACTCCAGCCTGAGCAGGAACACCTACACTGTTATTTTTAGTCCTGTGGTATGAGCCTGGATCAGTTGATCCGGGATCTGAGACTTCGCTGCTGTGGGTCTTTTTTGCAGTGTAGACACCCCCTTCATGCACCTGCAGCCAACACCTTACACAATCCTCACACTCCATGGAGTCCTTTACAGAAAAAAAACCAGTAAATACTCACCTCAGTGTCTGCAGTTTGCAGTTCGCATGCTTCAATCCCTCACACAGCAGCTGCACTCCTGATTCTCCCAGGCTGTTTCCTGCCAGGTGCAACTCGACCAAGGTCTGTTTGGTACCAAGAAGAGAGGAGAGATCCTCACAGCAAGCAGCTGTCAAATGGCAATCACAAAACCTGCAGGAGACAAGCAGAGAGGAAAATGACAACTTCTGTCTGTCCAGTCCCCTCCGTGGGTTTCTAGAAAGATTCTTTTATTTGGGGGTGGTGGGGTGGGAGGGGGGAATCACAGAGCTGTAGTAATGGATGCTGAGGACCACATGATCTTGTGTGGATTTCAATCCATGTGCAGCTGTAGCTCTCATTGATCCCGTATTCCACATGAGTGTTTTCCATCTCTGAGCAGACACACTTGGGCGTCTGCTAATAAGAAACTTTATTATAAGTGAGGAAAGGAAAGATGGGTGGTGGGGGGAGGAGAATCTCACTGGGAATTAATGACAATGGTGCTGCACTGGAAGGTATATTATAGTTTTATGGATGGGAGGAGCCTTTTATTCTCTCTTCCTGCATCTTTTCAGTTGAGGACTCAGCCAATAAGCCACCATCTATGGTAGACTTAGTATTGAACATTCAGGATTCAGGGATGGCTCCACTTTGCCAAGTCTCAAGTCCCCCCCTCCCCTCTCTTGATCATACAGTAGTAAAGGCTGGAAGTTCCCTGGACAGCCCCGTCTCAGAGGGCACCAGGCAGAGGGAGGTCTCTCTTTGCCACATCCCTGAACAAGAACGTACCAGCCATCTGCTGATAGCCCATAGAATAGATAATATTAGCAAGGGGGCTCTCTCTACCTCCGGGAGAAGAATGCTCCTGTGGACCTTGATACCAGCTCCTGAGACACAGACACCAGCACATCTCAGAAGAGACAAGGGCTCTATAAGCTTCATAGCCTCACACTGGCTACGTCAGGTTTGGCTCTCAGCTCTGGGGCAGCTGGCCAAAGCCTTCTCCCTTTCGGAGACCACCTTTTTTTTCCCCCCAACATGGAATTACTTTAGGCCGTTGGGGCCTGGAAACAGTAAAATGATGTTCCATTTAATTATTTTCTGCACTTCTATTCCCTAGTCCTTAGCCATGGTTGTCCATGGCTTTCTCACCTTTATTTTAGACTGTCACGACTCACTCTCTCTCAGGATGGTATAGGCTTCCCATTCAGCTGGCAGCAGATCACTCCTTAAGCTACAGAGGCCAAAGTGAGCATTATCACTCTGGTACCCTATGTCCACAAACAGCATGCTCTGCAAGTGCTGCAGGCCTGTGGCTTGTTGCATCTGACCCATACTTCTTAACACAACTTCCTGAACCAGGAGCATAACGTCTATGGCTTACAGTGTATGTTCTCACTTAATATTTTTAGTTTGCTGCATTGCCTCCTTTAAATGGTTCCGTCCTGCCCTAAAATCCACACATATGTTGTGAATGGCAACATCCTCTCACTTGCAGATGATGTGATGGGGGTCAGCAGCTCCCACTGCCCCTCTGCCATGCTGCTTGTGGGCCCGCAGGCCCAGAATGTCTCCTGAAAAGCACCAGCAGCTGTGGGTGTCTGTGCTCATGAGGGGCTGGATTTTATTCATTTGTTCAGTAGTTTTGTTATGTTTTCAGTTCTTGTTTTGTGGTTTGTTTTGGAGCTGAACTAGCCATTCCTTTGCAGGTAGCTCTTTGGGGGCTTGAGATGGCCGTGCTCTGGGCTCAGAGGGAGAATATCACTCAGGGCCCCTCCTCCATGCAGCCCAGAGACTTCGGAGTTCTTCCCCACCTCCTGTTGTGCAGGTCCTGGGGCATGTGCAGCTTCCTGGGGGGAGGATGGGAGCAATGAGAACCATGGGACAGTAAATGGAATTACTTGGAGGTGCGGGAGTGCAGAGGGTAGCGCTTGTCTGGCTGTTCATTCATTAGTTAATTATCCTGCTCTGCGGTCTTGTTTGCAGATCTCAGCAGTATGGACGTTGCTGCTGCAGCAGTGAACACACAGTGCGATGTGTGCGAATGTACGTGCACACGCACCAGGGCAATGTTCACGAGCTGCTGCTTTTCCCTTTTGTGATTTTCAGAAGAATCCGCAAGGGACCAAATAAAACCAAGATTTCTGTTTTAAAGCTGAAATTCAGATGTAGTCACAGTGTATTTCTGGCATTGTTAACCTGGGGGGGGGGGAGGAGATGTGGGGCCAGAGCCAGTCTCCCTTCACATGCTCTGGGGCTGGCAGGCAGCAGGGGTACAAGTAGCAGAGCCGACTGGAACTCGGAAACAATTTTCTGTTGATATTTTTGCATCACCTTTTGCTAATTCATCCACATTATGAAATCTCCTGCCTAGCTTCAGTGAGAGGCTTGTCACGATGGCGCCAGTAGGCTGAGCTGTCAGAGATGTCATGGGGCATTGTCGGATTGCACGGGGGGTATTTATTACCCCACTGCAGCTGCTTTGCCAGTGCTCATGCTGAACCAGGGCGAAGGGACATGGTAGCTGACAATATGTCGTTGCATTTGATTAAAATCCAATGGTGACGTGATCCCTTGTGCATCACTGTGAGTGTGTGAGTATGGGGCTGTGCAGTGTTACGGGTGAGTTAGGAAGACTTGCTGCTGCTGGTAAGGTCAAAGTTCTCTAGCACAGGCATAGTCTCAAACCGCTCATCCACCAGCACCCACAGAACAGCTGTGCTGCACAGGGACAATCCAACTAGAGGAGCCCAGGTTCAGACTCTTGGGCATTGGGGCAGAGAATTCTGATCAGTTAGAGCCTTGTTGTAGATCTCCTTGTCAGAAGGGATCAGACTGAGGCCTGGCCATGCTCAAGGCAAAATGCAAGATCACCTCTTCGCTAAAGCTTTTGCCAGGAACAACTCCAGGATCAGCACAGAATCACAGAAGTGTTAGGACTGGAAGGGACCTCAACAGGTCATTTAATCCAGTCCCCTGCTCTCAAAGCAGGACTAAGTAATAACTAGACCAACTAGCAGGAGATGGAGATGGTGTAGTAAAAGGAGAGAGAAAGAAGCAGGGAGAGAGTTGAGGGGTGGAGCAGAGAGAAAGAAAGAAATCAATCCCCTCCCAAAAAAACATACCTGTGAATCAGGGAGAAATGAAATCCAGTGATGATACATAAATGTTAAATAAATAGATATGTTCATGGCTTAGATACCCTGGTGACAGGTAGGGCTGGGCAAATAATTGGTTATTTGGTTCAGTGCCTGAGCCCAGTAATATGAAAGAAACATTTTATCTGGGTTCACCTGAAACAGTAAAGTCAATTTTTCTCCCAAAATGAAAATACTGTAAAAAAGTTTGTTTGGGCTCAAATGAAATGGTTTGTGCTACCCTAAACAAAATGATTAGTTTTCAGGTTTTTTGGGTTTGTTTAACTCTATTTTTTTTAAAAATTAAACTGAGCTAGTTTTTCCTAACAAAACATCATTTTGACACAAATTTTGAAATTTTGTTTCAAAAACATCTAAACTAACTATTTTGACTTTTTTGGAAACTTTTTCCCCCATTTTTATTCAGTCAAAACTATTCATCAGATTCGACCTGAATTTGTGAACAGTTTCAGGTGACCCGAAACTGCATTAGTTGCCAAATCAGCTGTTCACCATGTAAATTTCACCCAGCTGTAGTGACAGGCACCTTAGAAATATCTAAGATTAAAATGCCTCAGCTTCTCTTTTCCACTTCCTGAGTCTTTCCTGATCTCAAAAATTTCCCCTGGCCACACTGCTTACCTCTGTCTCTCAGGCTCATCTGTTGGTAAGGTAATTGGGTTAACTGTCATTGCAGCACTAGGCTGACTAAGCCAAACCCACATGTATTAACTGCAAATTTAAACATAATACTCAAAAGTTACACAATTCTATGTGGTCGCTATAGCAATCACGGTGAAGAGCTGTACTGCTGTAGAATTTCTGGGATAGCAGCAGTAAGAAGAGGATTTTAAAAAAGTAATGAATAGTTACTTACTCTAGTTTCTTTAATTTACAGTTTGGATCCTTCAGTGCTTGACAGAGCAGGTAAATAGGCGAATGCTTTGGCTTATCCTGATGGTTTTTCCTTAAAGAAAGTAGAGAAGAGAAATTTTCTATGTTGTTCTCTGAAGGCAGATTTTAATTCTATTTCCTGAACATTGAAATAGCCTCTTGGACAGTGTGATACAGTGCATACAGGTTATTCTGCAGTTACAGTTAGTTGTAAGCCCCCCCGTTCAAAACTACAGCTAGTACTTTGATATGTATGTTAAGTACATGGAGCCAAATTGAATACGTGCGACTACGATTAATCCATTCATTTTATGAACTTGTGGTACTCTGATTCTCTGAATATTAAAACCCAGTTCTAACTACTCAGACAAACGGGAGTGTCTCCAGAGCTTTTATGCTTGTGTGTCAGCCAGTAACTTCAGTATGATTTCTGGAGATACAATAAAAATTATCGTGTTTATTTAACTAGGAATGCTGTCTTTCATTTGCCCACAAAGCTAAAAACCTAATGTAAGTATTTGCTTAAAATTGTAAGTATGACAACTGTTGCTCAATATTGTATAATTGGGCTTATGCTTAGTGAAATTACATCCCTAGGAGGAACCAGAAATGGAGCTCATTGGTTCCTGACAGCAGAATGTGTAAAATGGCAAGTTAATTTTAAAGCAGCATCTGTATAAGAAATAGTGCTGGATGAATAATTAAACAACTAAAATTCAAGAATATTCTGATGAATTTTAAAGTGAATTTATTTCCACTGTGTTCACACATCTTTATTTTGTGCTTTCCAAATATTCTAGCAACGGGAGTTTGCAGACAGGAATGTTGTTGAAGCAACACGTTTAAGTCACTATTACAGAATATTCCTGTGAAAGCAAAAGTTGTATTTGTAATCCTGAGCATTCATACTAGAAATCTGGTTCTCGTATTTATGTTAATTGATTTACAGGACCAAAATATCTATGACCTGTGTGTCCAATCAAAATGAATAATTTAATTTAAAAAAAATAAAATTGTTTGGATAATTTGTGAAAAAGGCAACATTCATTGAGTGAAATATTTATTATTATCTGCCCAGCTCTAATAAACAGGTCTTTCTTAAACAGCAGTTGTAGAAGACTTGGGGAGACAGGGTGATAACAGGAGAGACAAATGGGGTCACAGGAAGGATTTTTTATCATGGGGACAAATAAATCACACATATGTTACCAAGGAAATGGACCAGAGTTTGAGAGGGGAAAACATGAGGAATGGAAGGGTATTAGGGACAAGGTAGATCAGAAGATAGGATGGGATGGTGGGTAAAAGGAGAGCAGGCCAAATCCCTTGTCTTTTGTCATCCTGTCCAGTCTGGCTTCCTCACCACTGAAGCTGCCATCTTAGTTTTTATTAACCTCACCCTAACCAGAGTTCAGATTCTATATTCGGTCCTCCACCTCCTCAACCTCTCCACTGCCTTTAACATCTTTGCCTACTCTCCTCCTCTTGAAATCTCTTCTTCCCTCAACTTTCAGGAGTCTGTTCTCTCCTGCTTCTCCTCCTACCTCTCTAGTCAGTATTTCATGTGCTGCATCCTCCCATCCCCCTCCACCTTTCATTGGCACCCCACAGGGCTCCTGTCAAGGTTCCTTCCCCACTCTGAACTCTAGGGTACAGATGTGGGGATCTGCATGAACGACCCCCTAAGCTTATTCTTACCAGCTTACGTTAAAAACTTCCTCAAGGTACAAACTTTGCCTTGTCCTTGAACCCTATGCTGCCACCACCAAGTGTGTTAAACAAAGACCAGGGAAAGAGCCCACTTGGAGACGTCTTCCCCCCAAAATATCCCCCCAAGCCCTACACCCCCTTTCCTGGGGAAGGGCTTGATAAAAATCCTCACCAATTTGCACAGGTGAACACAGACCCAAAGCCTTGGATCTTAAGAACAATGAAAAAGCAATCAGGTTCTTTAAAGAAGAATTTTAATGAAAGAAAAAGTAAAAGAATCACCTCTGTAAAATCAGGATGGTAAATACCTTACAGGGTAATCAGATGCAAAACATAGAGAATCCCTCTAGGCAAAACCTTAAGTTACAAAAAGACACAAAAACAGGAATATCCATTCCTTCCAGCGCAGCTTATTTTACCAGCCATTTAACAAAAGGAAATCTAACACATTTCTAGTTAGATTATGTACTAACTTAAGGAGTTATGAAGAGCATTCCTGATCTGTTCCCGGCAAAAGCATCACACAGACAGACAGACCCTTCCCCCCCTCCTCCAGCTTTGAAAGTATCTTGTCTCCTCATTGGTCATTTTGGTCAGGTGCCAGCAAGGTTATTTTAGCTTCTTAACCCTTTACAGGTGAAAGGGTTTTGCCTCTGGCCAGGAGGGATTTTATAGTTCTGTATACAGAAAGGTGGTTACCCTTCCCTTTATATTTATGACACATCCTTGGCCCCTCCTTTTCTCCACTTACACCTTTACACTGGGGAATTTCATTCAAAATGTGGCTTTGACGGTCAAATTTATGCTGAAGACTCAGATTATTATAAGGTCATCCAACACCATGGTGTACCAGTGCCTTCCACAAGACATCTCCCCTCCAGCAGGAAAGAGCGTGGTTATCACTGGGGTTATTTTTAAAGAACATGTATAAAGTGACGGTGCTGGTGAGAGCTGGTTCTTGTGGGAAAACTCAGTCAGAGACGTAGGGTTTGTATTTAATTTTGAGGCAGTGTGTGTGTGTGTGTGTGTGTGTGGGCAGGGGTTCCATTCTTATTTCATTGCGCAGTGAGTTCCACCGTTGTGGCACCGCAGCTGAGACAACTGAATCTCCTGCAGAGATGAGCTTTTCCTTCCTTGTCAACAGATTGGTTTTTCTTGTGGAACAAAGCCACCAGGCCAAGTCACTGTCATGGAGGGACAGGAGCTCTCTCTCTCTCTCTCTCAGCTGGGGCCAGCACCGTGCAATGCTTTGAAAAGAGTCAGCACAACCACGTTTAACTCGACTCTGGTCAATAGGGAGCCAGTTTAGGCAGCACTGTTTTGGGGAGATGTGTTCCTGGTGACCTAGCCACCCCTTCTCCACTGAATCGAACACAAGTTACTCATCTTTACCCTTTAGCCCTTTATGGCTTAGCCTTGCCCTGTCTGTCAACTGTAGTACACTATCAAGATGTCAACCTCTGCCTCTACTCTGCCGACCACGCCAGCTTTCATTACCCATTAGTCCATAATATTTTCATGCTTTCTCCCCTGCTGTCCCTGATGCCAGGGAGGAACATGTCATAACTCCATTACTCCTCTGCAATAGCCTCCTTCAAATCCCCCCTGAAAACTCACCTCTGCTGTGAATCCTGCAACACACTTGACAATGGCCGGGCAGCCGGTGCACATGACTCCTGCTTCCTAACTTCGGCTCATTAGACTAAACGTGATCATTTACTAGTTAGTGCAACACATGGTGGTGAGTTTGTGAGGTGGGGCCTGGAACTGACCAATCTCAATTCATTCTGGGGCCACCAACATCCTTATTAGCGGGGAATAGTGTTTAATCCCCAGCACTAGGCTGTTGGGTTTCAGGATTGTTAGGCTGGGTTCTCTTCCTTGCTCTGGGAGGAATCTAAGCTCTGCTGGTTAGAGACAGCAGAGCCATTGCAACAACCCTCCTGCTTGGGTTGTCTTCAGTAGAACTGGGTTAGAGAATGTTCAGCAAACTTTCCTTAATACCTGTGGGGAGAGGGAGAGAGAGAGATCTCATCCCAGAATAGCTCATAACCCCACGGTTAGTGATTTTTTCTCTGTTGGAGCTATTCCACTTTGTGCAAATCCTTAAATATTCATTGGGCCCGAGATAGCGAGACTGATTCTGTAACTGGGTAGTTAGGACACTGACCTGAAATGTGAGAGACCAGGATCAGGTTTGTTCCCTGCCTGATTTGGCCGGTCGTGATCTGCAGGGAGTGGTCCTGGGCTCTCAACCTCAAAACATGAGCATCTGTCACTTGATTTAAAGGACACTCCCGTGAAAACAGAGGCTATTAGAGATCCCTGAACCGCTCGCTGTACGATCTAGTCACTAGACAAGAACAAAGAGCCACTCTGACTGACTAACACGGCTGCTACTCTGAAATCTGACTGTGGATTACACACAGAGATATTTTGGCTCTTTTCACCTTATAGGCGGGGTGCCAAAATGGATGAGCCTTAGATCCATGCTATTAGAGGCCTGGGTTCTATCCTCGGCTCTGTTGAAGTGAATTTACCAATCTCTCCATTATCTTAGCTGTAAAATGGGTGAGTGATAGTTATACCTCCCCTAAGGCAGGGTTTTGAGGCCTATGTTAATAAGGGATGAAAAAGGCAGAGAAATATCAAGAGCAGCCAAGAAAACAGCTGGGATTAGAATTTACAGGCCTTTAGCCTCAATGCACCATCTACTAAGCTCCTGGGTATTGTGGCATCTTTGCTCATCCAGAAAAAAACAAAAAAACTCCACACTCCCATGCATGACGTTGCACTGGTTATGTGGAAACATGTGACAGTCTTGCAAGATGTGCGAGACATGGTAGGTCGGGTTAGGATGGTTTTTGGAGACCTGCCAAGCAGTTGTTAATACCAACACCGAGACACACCACCAATTATTGAATGCACTTTTTTGTTTGTTAAAATCCAATTATACTGATAGGAAGAAACTTCTGAAATATTTTTCAGATCCTATGTAAAACTGATTTTTTTAAATGGTCATTTTAGTTTTATCCACATGCAGCAAATTGTGGTGAAGAGTTCTAGCGAAAACAATTGTTCTTTGTTATTTTAGAGCACTGCAGCGTAGTCAGGTGGCGACAACACCCGTCTTCTGGTTGCAGCTAGAGCTGGTTGAAACTCAGAATTTTGTGGGAAATTTCAAGTTTTGGTTTTGTTCTGAATTTTTATTTTAATATCAGCGAACTGTTCAAACACACTGCCTTCTACACACAATAGCACAGTAAAACTACATGCTGATTTTCAGTTGAGGCCTGATCAACACACGGTTTTAGTACTGTTATAACTATTTTGGTTAGGAGACAAGTTTTTACCAAAATGTTCTAACCAGTACAATCCCTAAGGTGGATGCAGTTTTACCACTATAAAGGTGCCTTAGTTGTACACCAAGCACGTGGAAGCATGTTTTGTTTCCTAGTGATTTCCTCATCATGGAAGGTCTCAGTGAGCAGCTCTCAACCTTCCTTGTACAACCGTTGACACAAAGCAGGCTTCCCTCCCCCGCTCTTTTGTCTCACCCTGTTCAGATCTGTACACAAAACAGTACAGCAAACATTTCAGTCATTGAGAGGACAGAGCAGACCAAACAATCATGATTTTTTAAAAAAAAGGTCATTTTTTCGGTAGTCTGAGAACTGTATCATTAGCTGACAGTAACAGTAGAATTGTTCTCAGGTAGGTCATTCAGCCAATTATTAGTTATCAAGACATACGGAAAACAACATTTAATCTGTTAAAGAAATTACAGATTTTTCAGCTCAGATAGTACTTACTGATGTAGCCACTTTTGTCGTCTAGGGAGTTCTTCCTCATGGTCTTCTAAGCTAAATGTACAGTCATACATACAAAGTGACTCCAGATTACGACAATGCTTTACACAGAATGAAAGAGCCCTTTGATCCATCTGAGTAAATTTATTGTGATTTAACTTCAGTTCAATGAAGTGATCCAATGCATTAACTGCAAAATCTTCTTCATACATCTCATACACACAGTGAAACAACTCAAGCTGATAACTTTGATAAATCCCCTCATGAACACAGGGCAAGGTTAAATCTGTTTGTTGGTTTACTTGAACCCACTTCAGTAAATCTGCCTTAATTTTAGGTGAAAATTTACACCCAATTTTTTTCTGCAGGTCCTTCATTCTTTCTTCATTTAAGAGCCCAAATAGGAATCGCACTGTTAACATTAAATAATTTTTAGAGTTTCCATAGTTTTCTAACAAAGTTTTCACATCTTTCTTGGGAATTCCTGAAGCTGTTGTTGTTTCATCTTCCTCTAGGACATATAACATAGCTGCGAAAAACTCCTGAAAACTTAAGTGAATGAAGCTGTAGAGACATTCACAGTCAGTTTCTTTTTGAAAAATATTCTCATTCAAAAAAAGGGGGAGAGAGTTTTCTTGATCTAAGCCAAACTTCTTGATTTCTTCTTCCTCAAACAGTATCTTTTGCTTCCAGATTCCATCAGCAGCCAAGGAGCAAAGTCCCCTCAGATTTCCATGTAAGTGTTGCTTCGTATTGTTGCTGAGAGGCTTGACTAAACTGGAAAGGTAAAGCATATACACTCCAGTGACCGTTTTTGAAGTTTGTGTCAGATTCTCACCTTTCTCAAGCTCTTGTTTCAGAACCGTGCAGATGATCCAACATACAAAGGGGACAAAGCACATGGTGAAAAGAATTTCATTTGCTTTCACAAATCGTAAAGCTTGTCTTGCTTCTCTCTCATTTCCAAAGAACTTGTGGAAATATTCCTCCCTCTCAGCTTCAGAAAACCCCAGAATCTCTGCATAACGTGAACACTCGAAACACTGCCCGAGTTTTTCCAGAGCAGCTGGCCTTGTAGTGATCATCAGGTAGGATTCAGGAACAACTGTTCTCCTAAATAAACTGCTCAGGATGATTTCCATTGACTTCTTCTCCCAGGGATCAGTGCACAGATTATCTTTAGGCTGATCAAAGGAAAATCTCAGTTCATCAAACCCATCTATTATAAACATGAGTTTTTCTGGCTTCACCAGAATGTGGTTAACTGGTGCATTTGTATTAAGCCAATTTTTAAAAATCATGTCAGCCACACTTCCCTGCTCGTTAAGAAGGTTCATTTGCCTACAGTTTATGTAGAAAATATAATCAAACTTTTCCTTATAAAGTTCCCCAGCTGCCCAATCATACATGATCTTTCTTGCAGTCATTGTTTTCCCAATCCCTGCAGCTCCCAGCAGCACAACGACTTGTGGTGTTTGTCCATCTTTATCAGGTTTATATAGGGTGGCCAGTGTAATTGCAGAACTAGCTCGTTCAGTCATGATTTCTGCATGTCTCCATCCTACAGCCATTATTTCATGTTCTCTCTCCTTTGCCTGACGAGGTCTGTCTACAATAGTGAGGTTTGTGTATCTTCTGTTTAGAATCATATTGTCACCAAAACGACTGTTCATATCTTTTATTAGCTTGTATTTCTTTTTAATATCTTCTTTATACTTCTTCTTGTAACCTGTATCAGGAACATGAGACATTAGAAATATTGAACTGAAAGTTCAGAAAACAGACAGACTAATCTCAGACTAATCTCTTAAAATAGTCCTACTGTAACAACAATAATGGTTCTTCACATTTATAATGAAACCTTCTTCAAAAAGGATCCTGAAATCACTTAACTATGGGTGAGATCCTGCAGCCCTTACTCAAATATGGCCTCCCACTGAAATTATTCATTTGAGTAAAGACTGTAGGCATCACTTTATCCCCAGTGAAATGCAGCCACCCCTCTGGTGAAACCCGGCTACAGTTTGACAGAGCACAGCAACACTACACAGCAAGGTAGGTCACAAGTGGAGGAGAATATCATATGCAGTTGAAACAATACTGGGAATTTAGGTAGAAAGAATGTAACTTCATAAACTAGAATTTGTTAGGACACATGGGTTTACAAGAGAGAACGTCACGGGATCTTTAATTACGACAATGGAGAACCTCCAGTTACCTTCCTCACTTAAGACACGGTGCCCCTACAGCAGAGTGTCCTCCACCACCAGGCTAGTACATTCACTCAGTACTGACCCAGAGGGACATTTTGCACACATGTGTACTGGAAGTTGCCCAAGGTAATAAAAGTCCCACTCAGCCCATTATATAAAATTATTTGTAAAACAACTGACACAAACTGGATCATTTAAGCTAGAAAAACAATACTGAGGGGTCTGCAAAGCTCCTGGTAAAGTCATAGGTTGGCATGACAATGAGCCAAGAGATTCTAGAAATAGGAAAAATGTTTATAATTGAAATCACCAAATTATTTTGATCAGTTTGTTGTAATGGCATGAGGCTGCCACCCCATTTTGTACACAGTTTGTCTGGGGGTCACTAAATGGAACAGAAGAACACATGAAATAGAAGGAGCGAACTTTCCCATCATGGCTGGGATTCCCATCACCTCCTGGGATCCACCATGACACAAAGCGTGGAAAGACAGACAAATTGCTTCAGATGAGTACAAAAGAATTGCACAAAGATGTAGGGACAAAATCAGAAAGGCTAAGTAAGGCACAAAATGAGTTACACCTAGCAAAGGGCATAGAAGGCAATAAAAGGTTCTACAAATACAATAGGAGCAAGAGAAGGACAAAGAAAAGCATAGGTCCACCGCTTAGCAGGGAAGGAGATCTAATAATGGATGATACCTAGAAGGATGAGATGTTTAATGCCTATTTTGCTTCAGTGTTCACTAAAAATGTTAATTGTGACCAGACGGAAACACAATTATTATTAACAACAAGAGGGAAGACCCCAAAGCCAGAATAGGGAACGAGCAGGGTAAAGACTACTTAGATAAATTAGATGCATTCAAGTCAGCAGGGCCTAAAAATTCACCTTAGGATACTTAAGGAACTAGATGAAGCAATCTCTGAACCACTATCTCTGAGAACTCATGGAGGACGGACAAGGTCCCAGTGGACTGGAGAAGTGCAAATATCTTTTTAATGATGGAACAAAGACAACCTGGGGAATTATAGACCAGGCAGCCTAACTTCAATGCATGGAAAGATATTGGAACAAATTATTAAACACTCAATATGTGAGCACTTAGAACATAATAGGGTAATAAGTAATAGCCAATGTGGATTTTTCAAGAACAAATCATGCCAGATCAACCTAATTTCCTTCTTTGACAGGGTTATTAGCCTACAGGATTGGGGGGAGCCATAAATATCACTTATCTTGATTTTAATAAGGCTTGAGACACAGTCCCACATGACATTCTCATAAGCAAAATAGGGAAATGTGGTCAAGGTGAATTTACTATAAGGTGGGTGCACAACAGATTAAAAAAATGCATTCAAAGAGTAGTTATCAATAGATTGCTGTCCAAATGGGAGGGCATTCTAGTGGGGTCTCTCAACAGTCAATCTTGGTCTAGTACTAGTCAGTATTTTCATTAACGACTTTGATGGTGAGTGGAGAATATACTTATACAATTTGTGGATGACACCAAGCTGGGAGGGGTTACAAGCACTTTGGAGGACAGGTTTAGAATTCAAAAGGACCTTTATAAATTGGAGAATTTGTAAAAAATCAATAACATGACATTCAATAAAGAGAAGTGCAAAGTACTACACTTAGGAAGGAAAAATCAAATGCACAAATACAAAATGGGGAATAAGTGGCTAGGCAGTTGTATCGCTGAAAAGATTTGGGGGTTATAGTGTATCACAAATTGAATATGAATCAACCGTGTGATGCTGTTGTGAAAAAGGTTAATATTCTGGGGTGTATTAACAGGAGTGTCCTATGTAAGACACAGGGGGCAACTGTCCTGCTCTGCTCGGCACCGGTGAGGTCTCAGCAGGAGTATGGATATCACTGCCCTTTGGCTAAATCCTGAACACTACCCAGGATGTGAGCCTGAGGCTCCTGATGTCACCCTGCATCCCCCCCCCAATCCTTTCATTTGCCTTCCCCTCCGTGTTTCCTTTATCTAAGGAAAGTCTGGCTCAGCTGGCCAAGACAACTCCATCTGTCCCAGCACTGCTGTCAGCCTGAGACCAAGGCACGCCTTAGTCCGACATTGGTAAAAGTTTGCTGGGTCTCGGGGGGGCTGATCAACACACTTGCTGCCCCTGTAACTCGGCAGCAGGGAAGCTGCACGGGAACATCAGCATCAGAGACCAGCGTCATTTTCTCTTGGCTATTTGTCTCTCCCCTTTGTGGAACGGAACAGGATTGGACCTCAGCAGCACCACCAGCACAAAGGTGGGTAGAAAGCTGGCTAGATTGTCGGGCTCAACGGGTAGTGATCAATGGCTCCATGTCTAGTTGGCAGCCGGTATCAAGTGGAGTGCCCCAAGGGTCGGTCCTGGGGCCGGTTTTGTTCAATATCTTCATAAATGATCTGGAGGATGGTGTGGATTGCACTCTCAGCAAATTTGCGGATGATACTAAACTGGATGATACAATCTTTAAAAAAGGGAAGAAGGAGGATCCTGGGAACTACAGGCCAGTCAGCCTCACTTCAGTCCCTGGAAAAATCATGGAGCAGGTCCTCAAAGAATCAATCCTGAAGCACTTGCATGAGAGGAAAGTGATCAGGAACAGCCAGCATGGATTCACCAAGGGAAGGTCATGCCTGACTAATCTAATCGCCTTCTATGATGAGATTACTGGTTCTGTGGATGAAGGGAAAGCAGTGGATGTATTGTTTCTTGACTTTAGCAAAGCTTTTGACACGGTCTTCCACAGTATTCTTGTCAGCAAGTTAAGGAAGTATGAGCTGGATGAATGCACTACAAGGTGGGTAGAAAGCTGGCTAGATTGTCGGGCTCAACGGGTAGTTATCAATGGCTCCATGTCTAGTTGGCAGCCGGTATCAAGTGGAGTGCCCCAAGGGTCGGTCCTGGGGCCGGTTTTGTTCAATATCTTCATAAATGATCTGGAGGATGGTGTGGATTGCACTCTCAGCAAATTTGCGGATGATACTAAACTGGGAGGAGTGGTAGATACGCTGGAGGGGAGGGATAGGATACAGAAGGACCTAGACAAATTGGAGGATTGAGCCAAAAGAAATCTGATGAGGTTCAATAAGGATAAGTGCAGGGTCCTGCACTTAGGACGGAAGAACCCAATGCACAGCTACAGACTAGGGACCGAATGGCTAGGCAGCAGTTCTGTGGAAAAGGACCTAGGGGTGACAGTGGACGAGAAGCTGGATATGAGTCAGCAGTGTGCCCTTGTTGCCAAGAAGGCCAATGGCATTTTGGGATGTATAAGTAGGGGCATAGCGAGCAGATCGAGGGACGTGATCGTTCCCCTCTCTTCGACATTGGTGAGGCCTCATCTGGAGTACTGTGTCCAGTTTTGGGCCCCACAGTTCAAGAAGGATGTGGATAAATTGGAGAGAGTCCAGCGAAGGGCAACAAAATGATTAGGGGTCTGGAACACATGACTTATGAGGAGAGGCTGAGGGAGCTGGGATTGTTTAGCCTGCAGAAGAGAAGAATGAGGGGGGATTTGATAGCTGCTTTCAACTACCTGAAAGGGGGTTCCAAAGAGGATGGCTCTAGACTGTTCTCAATGGTAGCAGATGACAGAACGAGGAGTAATGGTCTCAAGTTGCAGTGGGGGAGGTTTAGATTGGATATTAGGAAAAACTTTTTCACTAAGAGGGTGGTGAAACACTGGAATGCGTTACCTAGGGAGGTGGTAGAATCTCCTTCCTTAGAGGTTTTTAAGGTCAGGCTTGACAAAGCCCTGGCTGGGATGATTTGACTGGGAATTGGTCCTGCTTCGAGCAGGGGGTTGGACTAGATGACCTTCTGGGGTCCCTTCCAACCCTGATATTCTATGATTCTAAAGGCATTTCCGGGGGATTGATGCTGGCTGCTGCCCATTAAATCCTAGGAAATGCTCCTCACCTCCAGGGCCATTGCCACAGTCACCATCAAAATCTTTACAATATGGCCTTTGGGAATAGGTAGCGTTACTTCAGTTTCATGGTGTTCGCTGTTCTGGAGAAGTGACAGGACGCTCTGTGCTAATGGTGTCACCTGGAAAGGCACTTAACAGATTTTGTTCCCATGCAAACTGTTCCTGTTTGTTTCACAGCAATAGATCTGGGAATGTATCCAGCTGAGTAAGCAGGAACCACTGTCCTTAGGTAACATCCTGGGTAGCCATCACATACCTTTTGCCGACAACTCTGATAGGTTTTGACTCTGATGAAACCCTGAAAGGGAAATTGCATTTAAATAACAGTGTAAGAAGCTACAGTGTATTTCAATGCAAGTGCGTTTCTGTTCCGTACGGAGGCAGCAAGGGGCCAAACGATGCAATTGCATCCTGTGTTAATGAAGTAATCACCGAGGAGAGCATGGCTACCAGCTGTCAGTGTACGAAGTTCATTTTGGGGAATACTGTGAAGGGAGCTCAGTTTCTCGGACCTCCCCCTGCCTGGTTCTACTGATGACTAGTCTGCACTTTACATGATGAGCCGGCCACATGGTCAGAGAAACACAGAACAATTGGCATTGGGACAAAGAGTCAATTCAGGAGCATTTGTGGGGAGAGGAAATGCCTTACAAACACTCATGTTCTCACACAGATTAGGTGAAACAACTAAAGGGTCCATGGGAAGGACAATTCTGCCTTCATTCAGGGATGGGATAGGTGGCTCAGGAGAGCCTTTAAAACCTAGGGATCTAAGACAGACGCTGAGGACAGTCAGACGGAATTTCCTCATTTGGGATAACCTCCACGTGGGGCAACCCCTGTCCACCGTCCCCCCAAGAACTCCGAGCTTTTCACTAGATTCAGTTATTGATAGAATGCTGACTGGATTAAAAATTGCATAGGCAGCCAGAAATATTTGCATAATATTGCCACTCCTTTTGCCAAGCATCTGTTACTAACTTCAGGGAACAAAGTACCCTTTCCCCACCCCTCAATAATTATTATTTAATTACTGAGTTATGGTAGGATCTAGAGCCCCAATCAGGGGCCCATTGTACTAGGTCCTGTGCGTACACAGAACATGACAGCCCCTGTCTGACAGAGCTCTAAAGCAAGTCTAAAGCAAGTAACTGCCCCCCGCATTGCGCTCTGGAGGCTGCTAAACTGTCCCCTGGGAGACTCTCCGAGGGAGTGAATGCCAAAGGCCTCTAGGGAGAGCCCCGCTGCCAGCCTTGGAGCTTTCCATCCCAGGGACCCCGGGCAGAACCAACCCAGCTGAGGTGCTCTATCACCGTGGGGTGCAGGGAAGTGGAACAGGAATGACTGTAACAGGGTTGAGTTTAGCTCCATCACTGAGCACGTGGATTCTAACATTGCTCCACTAAAGAGTGGCTCCCCACTGGCTCTTACACTTTTGTGAGACGCTGCAAAGCGATCTGGAGCCTTTGGAACTGCAGGATTGCTGGCTCCTTGTCTGTTTGTATTGCACTGAATTTTGTTTCTTTAGTTAAAAGATAGCCTTGGAGATAATAAAGATCCTGCCTGGAACCCCAGGAATGTCTCATGTTGTCAACCAGCTGTTTGGGGATAACATACTCTGCTGTGATCAGTTACCATTTACAAATCCCCAGTTCTCTGTCCTAGCTGTGGCACAGGTTAGAGCAGCCTGGGGGCTGTTCTTACTTGCACTAGCTGCTAATGGTCACCAAGGAATGATCTCCGAGCTGGGGATGCATTTCGGTTACTCCTCCTCCCCACCTCTCCCTGTCCATGACACTCCCTCTGCACCAGTCTGTTGGCTCTACACCCACTGGGGACTCCTTCACACTGGGGATATCCTCAGAGGGAGAGTTAAAGGCTGACTCTGCTCCCCTTGTGCCAGGTGAGTGGTGAAAAGGGAGTGGAGCAGGTGAAAGAATCTGGCCCACTGTGGGCATCTCTGCTCTGAGTCCCCCAGGCTTCCTGCTGGGATTTAGAATTTGTCATTCCTGCCATCACCCTCTTTCTCCTTCTGCTCCTGCTGCTGTTTCCCTGGGGGAGATTGTTGGGGCAGACTCCCAGGTTTTACAGTAACTTTATGTCTCTTACCTTTCTCTCTTTCTTCTCTGAGTTTTGCAGCAGAATCTCAGAGGTTGATCTGAGTGAAAACCTCTATGGTCACATCTACTGCAGCCTCTCCACCATAGAATTCCATCAGGAGGTTCTTCGTATCTATCCTGTCGGCATTCTCCAGCCGACCCCAGGGGATGGTACCTTTCCTCTCAAAGTCAGAATGTGATAGTTTGTCTTTAAATTTTTTCAAGTCTTCCTGAGAAAGGTTGTCAAGGGCTCGTAAGAGCAGGTCACTGATTCTGCTGCTTTGGTTTCCCATCACTGGGCACCAAGAGAGAAGCTAAAATGCAATGTAAAGTCTTGGTGTTAATCATTAATTGTGTATAACAACAATTATTCCCATGTAGAGGAAAGAAGTGGTGGGAGAAGATCACTGGGGCTCATAACTCCTCAGTGTTTCTCTCTTACAAATGATTCTTTGTACCTGTGTCCACATCTGTAAAATGGAGATAATCCTACTGATTTAACTCACAGGGGTGTGGTGCAGCTTAGCCAATGTTCGTAAAGCCAGGTGAGCTTTTAGGAAGATGGGGCTATGGTAATAGTATTTGTCATCCAACTGGATTTGAAAATAGAGGTGGGATACCCTAATTTAATTAACATTTCAAAATATAAACCCAGAAAATACAGTCCTGGAATATCAGGCCCTGCATCCTGAGATCCAGTGTTAGCTTGAGAGAACCTCATGGGTATTTTGGATATCAGAGCAAGATGAGGTGGAGCAGCAGTAATTTCTGACACACGGTGCGTCTATACAGCAACTGCGGGGTGTTGGTCCCATCTTGGGCAGACAAACAGATGTGACATTCAGCTCTACTTGAACAAGGGCCTAAAAATATCAGTGTGGGGGCAACACAGGCTAGACGCGCAAGTAAAATCGCGCCTGACCTCCTGGATACATGCCCGGGTAGCTAGCTCAAGCCACTGCCCATGCTGCTACTTTGAGGCGGGAGCACAAACACAGCTCATGCACATACGTCTACCTGCACTGGGAATTACACCTCTCAGTTGCTGTGTAAACATCCCCCTGGGCCCCATTCTGCCAGGTCTCACCTCCCACATGTATAAACTACAACTAGTTCAGATTAAAGTTAGCCCATCCCAAGAGAAAATGCAGAAAGTGATGGACTTACTGTTAGTCAGAAAGTTCACACAAACATCATCTGATGGCCCTGGTTTGATCTATTTCTCTCAGTCTTGTTTGTGTTCAAACACAGACATCCAAAAAAACCCTAGGAAGAGGAACAGGAAACTGCTCAAAGTTTATTGTGAAATACAAAGAAACTAAAACACCTCCAGCTAAAACTGAACTTCAGCACTTTCTGAATTTCTGCACCAACCCTCATACCACAGCAAATAGGATTTAAAGCCTTCTTAGTCCATATATATATATATATTGTGTTGCTTTTTATTCCTTTGGCTTCAGCAACCTGTTTCTCTGAATATTGATGTCATGAACTCCACAGACATGTTCACCACTTTTCCCTTCCCAAGTGCAGCAGCTTTAACCAAGACAAGCCACATATGAATAGTGTGCAACAGACAGAATGGAGTTTGGACTTTGCATCATCTTGATACATAAATAGCAGTGATATTAGCAGGAGTTGGGACTTACATCCTGTCATAAATATAAAGGGAAGGGTAACAAGCCTTATGTGTGCGGTAACATAAAATCCCTCCTGGCCAGAGGTACAGAATCACTTACCTGTAAGGGGTTAATCAGTTCAATTAACCTAGTTGGCACCTAACCAAAAGAACCAATGGGGGGGGGGGAATACTTTCAAATCTGCGGGAGAGGGAAGGTTTTGTTTGTGCTCTCTTTGTTTTGTTCCCTCTTGGGACAAAGAAAGAGACCAAGCAGGTAACCCAGCTCCTAAAAAAATCCTAAAATAATACATCTAAAAGTACAAAAATTGTAAGTAATAGCAAGAAAATAAGTTAGATTATCTTTTGTTTTAGCTTGTAAATTTTCCCTATGCTAAGAAGTCATTTTATTCCTGTTTTGTAACTGGGAAGCAAAGTTAGAGGGGAATTCTCTGTGTTTTAAATCTTTTTATTTACCCTGTGAAGTTATCTTCCATCCTGATTTTGCAGGTGTGATTCTTTTACTTTTTTTTAAATAAAATTCTTCTTTTCAGTGTCCTAAAAATCAGGGATTTGGTCTGTGCTCACTTTGTTAACCTATTGGTTGCTACATTATTCTCAAGGTTCCCCAGAAAAGGGGGTGAAGGAACTTGGGAGGATATTTTGGGGGGATATGGCTCTCTGCCGTCTTTCTGGGGCAATTCTCTTTAAGACCAAATAAGCAGCAACTCTGAGCTGGCTCACACCCCACACCCACCACCATTTGGGGCTTTGTTGCCTCATTTTAAGAATTTCTCACTTTTTTGTTTTTGTTTGCAGCTGCCAGAAGCCCTTGTCCCAGCTGAGAAGTGGAAACGAGAGGTTTGCTGTTCATTTCAGCAGAGAAATAAGAAAAGTGGGAATCCATTGATCCCATTCCTCTTAGGATGGAAGGAGAGAAAGGGATTTCCGCCTGGGGGCATATCTCACTCAGCTGGTGTGAGTCACCTTAGAACTACTGCCATGGGATGGCCTATATACGGGTCCCTAAATACCAGTGGCAGATTTAGAGTTAGTGGGGCCCTGTGCTCAGCTTCATTTTTGGGGCCCCCCTCGGGACCCAGCCAAGAAAAAGAATATTCTCTCTAATCCCCCTCCCCGCCCGTTTTTCATTCTTTTTTTCTTCTTCCTCCTCCTATAAGTAATAGGAAGTAAATGAAAATAAAGGGAGGTACCTTGATTGTTTTTGTAGTCGAACTTATTTTTCCATAGACCACTTGAAAATCGCGGAGGGTCTCAGCGGACCACTTAATGATCTTTCCAAATGTTGTTTGTACCGTTAGCTAACTATTGTAAAGCACTTTGGATAAGAGCGCTTTATAAAAAAAAATGCAAAAAAACATTGGGGTGCGGGGTCTGGCCAGGAGTTAGGGTGTGGGAGGGGGCTCAAGGCTGGGGGTGCAGGGTCTGGGAGGAAGTTAGGGTGCAGGAGCAGGCTGGGGGTTGGGGTTCAGGGTCTGCCCAGGAGTTAAGATGCAGCAGGGGGCTCAGGGCTGGGGAAGGAGGTTGGGGTGTGGAGCGCTTACCTGGTGCAGCTCCCATTTGGTCCGAGGGGTGCAGGTGGGAATGTGTGTGGGGGGGGTAGGAGCTCCCGTTTGGTGCTCAGGATGGGGCTAGGTATATGTGGGGGGTGCAGGAGTCAGGGCAGGGGGCTGGAGGTGTGGGCTGGAGTCGTGGAGCTGCTCCCAGCCCCCTGCCCTGAGTGGCTCACAGCAGGGGGCTGGGGGGCTATGTGTCGGGCGAGTGGGGGGGCCCCGCCCTTGCTCTGCACTGCCCCGATTCCACCCCCTTCCCCAAGGCCCCGCCCCGCCTCTTCTTCACCTCCTTCCCTGAGCACGCTGGGGCCCCGCCCCTCCGCCTTTCCCCAGAGCACCCTGAGCACTGGCAAACAGCTCCTCGGCGGCAGGGGAAGCGCGGCGGAGGGGCAGGGACCTGGCACACTTTGGGGAGGAGGCAGGGGAGGCGGAAGCTTGGCTGCCAGTGGGGGAAGAGCCTGCAGCAGGAGCTGGCAGGACCAAGCTTCTGTCCCCGCAGCTGCCTGGCCCTGGGGCCCCCTGTCGTTAGGGGCCCCGTGCCAGGGCATCCTGTGTTTTACTGTAAATCTGCCCCTGCCTCAGGACGTCCTTCATGCCCTTGTACCTCAGGCTGTAGACAGGGAGTTCAGCATGGGGATCACCAAGGTATAGAACACAGCCACCATTTTCTGCCAGACCCTGAGCTGTCAGATGAGGGTCGTAAATATGTAAAGATCAGGGTCCCATAGAAGATGGAAATGACAGTCAGGTGGGAGGCGCAGGTGGAGAAGGCTTTGTGCCTTCCTGCAGCGGAGCGGATCCTCAGAATATCAAAGATGACGTAAATGTAGGAGATGAGGATGATGAGAATGGTGCCTATTGTTTCTATGGCTGCAAAGATGAAATGCACTAGCTTATTGATGCGAAAGTCGGAGCACGAGATTTCTTGGAGTGGGCAAATATCATAGAATCATAGAGTATCAGGGTTGGAAGGGATCTCAGGAGGTTATCTAGTCCAACCCCCTGCTCAAAGCAGGACCAATCCCCAACTAAATCATCCCAGCCAGGGCTTTGCCAAGCCTGACCTTAAAAACTTCTAAGGAAGGAGATTCCACCACCTCCCTAGGGAACGCATTCCAGTGTTTCACCACCCTCCTAGTGAAAAAGTTTTTCCTAATATCCAATCTAAACCTCCCCCACTGCAACTTGAGACCATTACTCCTTGTTCTGTCATCAGCTACCACTGAGAACAGTCTAGAGCCATCCTCTTTGGAACCCCCTTTCAGGTAGTTGAAAGCAGCTATCAAATCCCCCCTCATTCTTCTCTTCTGCAGACTAAACAATCCCAGTTCCCTCAGCCTCTCCTCATAAGTCATGTGTTCCAGTCCCCTAATCATTTATGTTGCCCTCCGCTGGACTCTTTCCAATTTTTCCACATCTTTCTTGTAGTGTGGGGCCCAAAACTGGACACAGTACTCCAGATGAGGCCTCACCAATGTCGAATAGAGGGGAACGATCTATGCCATCACAGCCAGGAGGCAAAGCTCATTGTTGGCACAGAAGGAGAAGAGGAAAAACTGAACCACACACCCAGGGAAAGAAATGTCTTTACTCTTCGCTAGGGAAATGACCATCGCCTTGGGGGCAATCACAGCGGAGTAGACAACATCTAAGAGTGACAAATTGCTGAGGAAAATGTACATGGAGCTGTGGAGTTGGGAGTCAACCCTAATCAGCACAATCCTCCCGACATTCCCCACCAGGGGGCAGAACTAGATGGCAAAGAAGAACACAAAGAGGATGTTTTGCAGCTTTGGACTGTCTGTTATTCTCCAGAAAATGAAGCCAGTCACCCTGGATCCATTTCTTCTGTCACTGTGCTCTGTGTCAAAGAAGAGGCAGAAGAGGGGATAGAAGCAATGGGTACCACAACAATAAATCTGATGTACAGTGGAGACTCCTGTTATCTCTTAAGAGATGCCTAAACAACGGAAATTTAATTTAGTCATAGATTCCAAAACCCAAAGGAACCATTTTGATTATCTAGACCAGTGTTTATTTGTTTTTCATTTGTGGACCAATCAAAAATTTTGAATGGAGGCTGAAATCTTAGACATAATCT